GGTACCAACGATGCTCCAGAAAACGATAGTCATTTTCAACGGTCCTCAACGAACGATCCTCGATGCCAACGATGCTCCGGACCAACGATAGTCGTTTCCAACGGTCCTCAACGATCTTCGGCGCCAACGATCCTCCGGACCAACGGTGGTCATTTTGAACAATCCTCACCGATCTTCGGCGCCAATGATCCTCCGGACGAACAATGAAGAAAGATATTTCTAACAACCCTCAACGATCCTCGGTGCGTACGATACTCTGGACCAAAGATAGTCATTTTCAATGATCCTCAACGATCCTCGGTGCCGACGATCCTTCGGACCAACGATAGTCCTTGCCAACGATTCCTCAACGATCCTCGGTGTCAAAGATCCTTCGGACCAACGATAGTCCCATTCAACGATTCCTCAACGATCCTCGGTGTCAACGATCCTCCTCCGGACCAACGATTGTCATTTTCAACGATCCTCAACGATCCTCGGTGTCGACGATCCTCCGGACCAACGATAGTCATTTGAAACGATCCTCAACGATCCTTGGCCCGATCCAATGTCCGGACCGACGACAGTCATTGTCAACGATCCTCAACGATCGTCGGTGCCGACGATCCTCCCGACCAAGGATAGTCATTATCAACGATCCTCACCGATCCTCGGTGTCGACGATCCTCCGGACTAACGATAGTCATTTGAAACCATCCTCAACGATCGTCGGTGCCAACGATACTCCAGACCAACGATAGTCATTCTCAACAATCCTCAACAATCCTCGGTGCCAACGATACTACTCCGGACTAACAAAAGTCATTTGCAACAATCCTCAACGATCGTCGGTGCCCAATATCTTCCGGCCCAACGATAATCATTTTGAACGATCTTCAACGATCCTCGGTGCCAACGACCCTCCTGACCAACGATAGCCACTTTCAACTATCCTCAACGATCCTCGGTACTGACAGTATTCAGACCAACAATAGTACATTTTAACGCTGCTCAACGATACTCGGTGCCAACGGACCAACGATAAGAAGAGTCATTTTCAACGATCCTCAACGATCTTTGGTACCAACAATCCTCGGGACCAACGATAGTCACTTTCAACGATCCTCAACCATCCTCGGTGCCAAATATCCTCCGGACCAACAATAGTCATTTTCAACGATCTTCAACGATCCTCAACGATCCCTCGGTGCCAAGAACCCTTGTGAACAATAATTGTTATTTTGAACGATCCTTATCGATCCTCGGAGATAACGATATTTCGGACCAACAATAGTCCTTATCAACGATCCCCAATGGTTCTCGGTGCCAACGATCCTCGGGACCAACAACAGACGTTTTCAACCATCTTCAATGATCCTCGGTGCCAACGATACTCCGGACGAAAGATAGGTATTTTCAACGATCCTCACCCATCCTCGGTGCCAACGATAGGCCAGACCAACGGTAGTGGTCATTTGCAACGATCCACAACGATCCTCAACAACCCTCGTGCAAACAACGATAGTCATTTTCAACGATCCACAACGATTCTCGATCCTTAGGATCAACGATAGTCATATTCAATGATCTTCAAGGGTCCTCGTTGCCAACGATCGTCTGAACCAAAGCATGTCATATCCAAACATCCTCAACGTCCTTCGGTGCCAACGATCTTCTGCACCCAACGGAAAGATAGTCGTTTTCAACGATCCTCAAGGATCCTCGGTGCCCACCATGCTGCAGACCAAAGATAGTCATTTTCAACGATCCTCAACGATCCGCGGAGCAAACGATGCTTTGAACCTTAAGTAAATATTATCGACGAGCCTTAACGATCCTCGGTGCCAACGATACTCCGGACCAACGATGCTCATATTCAATGATCCTCAAGGATCCTTGGTGCCAACGATTGTCCGGACCAACGATGGTCATTTGAACGATCCACAGCGACCCTCAATGATCCTCGGTGCCACCGATACTCCGGGTCAACGATAAATAGTCATTGCCAACGATCCTCAACGGTCCTAGGAGCCAGCGATCATCTGGACCAACGATAAACATTTCCAGGGGTCCTGAACGATCGTCAACGATCTCCGGTTCCAACGATCCTCTGGACCAACGATAGTCATTTGCAGCGATCTGCAACGATCCTCCGTGCCGACGATCCTCCGGACCAACGATAGTAGTCTAGTAATTTTCAACGATTCTCAACGATCCCCGGTGCCATAAATCCTCCGGATCAACGATAGTCATATTCAACGATCCTAAAGGATCCTTGGTGCCCACGATCATCCAACCCAACGATAGTCATTTCCAGCGATCCTCAACGATCCCGGGTGCCAATGATCATTCAAACCAACGATAGTTAATCTCAACGATCCTCAACGATCCTCGGTGCCAACGATCCTCGGGACCAACGATAGTCATTCTCAACAATGCACAACGATCCTCGTTGCGAACGATACTCCAGACCATCGGTAGTCATTTGAAGCGATCCTCAACGATCCTCAATGATCCTCGGTGCCGACGTTCCTTTAGGTCAACGATAATAGTCATACACAACGATCCTCAACGATCCTCAACGATCCTCGGTGCCAACGATACTCCGGACCAACGATAGTCGTCGCCAACGATCCTCAACGATTCTCGGTGCCAACGATACTACTCCGGACCAACGATAGTCATTGCCAACGATCCTCAACGATTCTAGGAGCAACGACACTCCGGACCAACGACAGATACTTTCAGGGATCCCGAACGATCGTCAACGATCCTCGGTGCCATAGATCCTCCGGACCAACGATAGTCATTCCCAACGATCCTCAGTGCCGACGACACTCCGGACCAACGATCGTCGTACTGATTGATCCTTAACGATATCTAACGATCCTCGGTGCCAAAGATGATCCAGACCAACAATTAATTGTCATTTTCAACGATCCTCGGTGCCACATATACAGTAGACCCCGCTTTAAGGACGCTCGCGTCAAGGAAACTCCCCGCTTTAAGGTAACTTGCTTTGCTCAGCACCAGAGAGGTCGTCAGAATATTCGATAATGGGATGCCCCCATTTTTCTGCCGCGTACCCCCCTTTTTTGTGTCCAAGATTGGCCTGCGGGCCTGCGGGCCTGCGGGCCGCTCTTTGCACGACCCACGCACCACAGTGAGTGCAGAAGTAGCGACGCACAGTCAGCAGAAGTAGCGAGCGGTCTGCTGCTGTAGCTGCAACTGGGTGTTGATATGGATAGATTCCTCCCATCTACCGGCGGTCCATCTGATGCCGCCAAAAAAAAGTCGTGCGTAACCTCGTCCCTCACCAAGGGCGAGGTTATCTCTCGCTTGGAGGACGTTCGATCCTACAGATAGCGCCTGCAGTTAAGAAACGTCATTATTATCGGATCGAGCCTCAATCCCTTCTTCTGGGTCGAAGTACCGCCCCAAGTCGTCCATTTCCGTAAATGGCATTTCTTTTTCCTTTGGACTGTCGCAACCTCCCCATTCTCTGATTCCTCAGATACTTCTTTTTTTCTTGTTTCTTTTTTGTGATCTCTGAGGACAATCCACATCATCAAACCCTCAAGAGAGTGCCGTCAAACCCGTACAACAGCGGAGAGCATATGATTGTCCGCGATGTGTGGCNAAAAAAAATGCACTTCTGTTCAGCTTCGGATGGGGGTGGGAGCACCGCAGATTTCTGATGTCATGGGGGTATCACACCATCATGTTTCTTATTGGGGCGTTTCTTACGTTGTGGCCGAGATTGAGCTATGTTTCATAGCCCTTTTTTCTTATTTGTCGTACAAACTTGAACCTTTTTTCTAAACAGAATTTTTCTTAACTGCGGGCGCTATCTGTATTATTTGTACGTGAAGGGAAGGGGTGGCGAGTACCGGGAGACGCAGTACCTTCTTTCGAAGACCGTTTATTCGCTTACTCATGAAACTTAACAAAGCCGTAGAGCCAAGCCGCGGGGGGAGGTTCAGGGAACTCTTCGCGATATATATGTGGAAGGAAAGCCATCCGGGTAGCTCTTGGTCTCCGCCGGGACAGACAGTGATATTTACTGGTGTTACTCGGTACGACGCTGGACTTTCCTCCTCATTCCGCTGCCGGCTATGCAGTACATTAGTTGGCCAAGTACAAACTGGTGTGCTGTAGTTGATTTCAACACGTCCCCGACTGCTGTAAATCTCATTTGAAGAATTGTATTTCGACGTCAACATACGGTTGCCAGTCGTCTCGGCAATGCTGACTTTTCGTACCACCCCCGTCCACAGCAAAAGACGCGTAGTTTGAGGTACAGCATGCCTTCATTGGCCCCGGGATGGTGAGCTATCGTCCCCTGAATTTTAAGGACGCAACCCCGCTTTAAGGACGCTTTTTTTCGGGAAAAAACATGTGCGTCCTTAAAGTGGGGTCGACTGTCTCCTGCGGACGATAGTCATTTGCAACACCCTCAGCGATCCTCGATGCCATCGATCCGCCTGACCAACGATAGTCATTTTCAACAATCCTCAACGATTATCGGTGCCCATTATCTTCCTGACTAATGATAGTCATTATTAACGATCCTCAACAATCCTCGGTGCCAACAATACTTCGGACTAACGACGGTCATTTTCAGCATGTTTTTACCCTGGCTGCGTCCTTGCCGCAGACCCTACTGCTGTGACCTGCTACGTTTGATCGCTCGCTCTCGTGTATTTGTACCGTGTTGCTCATGGTCTGTGGGAACGTGTGTGTTGCCCTGTAATGAAAAGATCAAATATCAGGCCACTCCTTGCGCAAAGAAGTTTGGTATTTTTGCGAAGGCATTATCGGTTTGGAGTTCGGAATGCCTTTCCGCGAAATACAGCCAGTCGCGGCTAGGTTAGGCGTCGATTGCACGTGCCACGTATGCCTGGCGATCCTCGGGCATGCGTGGTTTGTACCGACGAGCCTCCTGGGTGCCTCTGAGAAGGGCCATGAGAAAAGACCTTTGTTAACGCGAGAGAGAATTAGATTATTTAGTGTGCCGAAGCACGAAAAACATCGAAATGATACATACAGTGAGGGCGCCTCAATAGGCGGTGGCGGGGCAGCTGGTAACGACCGCCTCATGACGGGACAGCCACCGTATTCAATGTGTCTTCAATGTCAGCCAATTTCACCTGCCTTATATGGGCGACCCGCCTTATTTAGACCACCTTATGCGGGACCCCCCTGTATGCGCATTAAAGTACAGTACTAGAACCCGGGTCTTGTGCCGCCAAAATCAGACTTAGCACCGCGACGCCAATATGAAAAGAGAACCGTCCTCCAAAGATGTTCGGGGAGATGCGACCCTTGTACAGATCTCGTTGGCGAATTAATCTCAGACGCGAAGGTCGCTGCATCTCTTCCTTTAACAACTTCAGTTATTCCCACCCACTTGATCGGTGATCCACAACAGAGGGTTATCGAATCTACGAATACATTCTGACTGGGCAATGAACGTTGACTAGCGACTAGCCCATCTAAACTTTTCACTTCCACAAGACAACAACCAGACAAACCACAGGGCGCTTTCGGTTACGACCCCACGTCGAAAACGCAAGTCTTGAATCACTCTTGTACTTCACTCCTTCTACCATTACGCCGCGACTACCCAATTGGTTTAATTTCTTGATGTATATCTCAGTCTGTCTCCTTACCCCTGTATCCCGATTACGTAGGCGAGATGGCAACAAGAAAATGCACGCAGCAAACTCACTCTCCGCTTGTGCACTAACAAGGAAAACAAATCAATGAGCCGAAGGGATCGGCCTAAACCCAATCCGCCGCGTCAGGCCTGTGCGGCCCCCTCCCCGCCTACGTCATCTTCCTCATCCCAGTCCCATCCAAGGGCTGCCGCATTCATCCCAGCGAAGTTGTCATCTCCATCGATTGCGCTGCAGTTAAACGCCGCGAAAAGCAGCCGCTCCTTCATGACCTGCAAGACAACATATAGGCAGAGAGGAACAGCGCGCACATTTTTTCGGGTACAGGAAATGAATTTGTATTAGTGCTTGCTGTCGAGGTAAACCCTCGAAACTACGACAGCACGCCAACATGTTGAACCTGTACTAGAAATACACTGCCAGATTGATCAACCCAATCTAAAGAGACAAGCGCATTGCGTAGTCGGAAGGCGTGGACCTGTCTATTTCTACTGTAGTCGACACACGGTATTCTGGCACACCAGGCCAGCTAATATACTTGCCCGCGACACATCGATAGCATACACCCAAACATTCGAAACAGCTGAGTTGCATTACGTCAGATAGAAGGTCAGATCATCCTTCGAACGCATGAGGAGAAAGCAGTATCGGCCGGTGGTCATGTCAAGAGGGCACGTGCAAGCGCGAAACTAAGCACTGGACATAAGGCTTACGGCATGGAACTCAGAAACCAACATGATGCGAACGTCTCCGCCTGCCTCTCATTTTACATACACGAACTAGCTCAAAGAACACGGCCGCTGCTGCCAATTGCGTTCCATGTTACTTAAAGACAACGGGCGCTCGACGAGTCTTCGCGGCTGCGCATCTACTCGGTTGTTCTTAGCTGTCAACATTGTTCCCATTCCGCAAGGTTGAGCTACTCTTCATTGGAGATCTTCCTCGGAGCACAGGATGATGGTCTCGCGACGCTGGAATGAGGTTCCCGCCTCTATCACGTCAGTACATCGGAAAAGAAAAGAGGCCCGCTCCTCGTGCGATCAATTCACATCCGCAATACAATCAATCCGGATGAAAAAAGGAAGCATTGGCACTCGTTACTGTAGGGCGGCGTACCTCAAGAGAGCTGTAGGCCGGCAGCTCCAAGCTGAAGAAGCACGTGTGAGCCACTGGCAGATAATCGTCTGCGGGAGAGCGCGCGAAATTCTGCAGCTTGAAGCGCTGGCTGAAGCCCTCCGCCGTGAGCGGTAGCCTCGTCCTGAGAGGCACACAGCGTTATTGTTCAAGGCGCACAATCTTGAGACGAGAGGGAGCTGTGGTTGGTATTGATACGGGCACCCGCAACCAGGCTTCAACTAAGCAACAAGCACCAAATTCCGAAGTGTGTGGGAATTGGCGTCATGCGGGGTTCTTACGAAAAGGTCGTCGTGGAATGTACCAAAAAACTTTTACACGCAACAGTCGGAAAAGCAACTAATCGTTTCGTTGTCGTTTCGCAACAGCATTTGTTCAGCTTACCGTCCCCAGGTGAACTTGATGAGCATCGATCGCTCTTGTGGGGTGAACTCGCGCAACGCCTGCCAAAAGAACTTGATGTGCGGTTGCTCCTTCCTGCACCCGGAGTACTCCGCAATCGCCTGGTGTCGTCCAGTGCGCGGATTGCGCGGACAGTGCTTAACGCAAACTTCGGACGGGTGCGATACACTTTGCCACCATGTACTTGCGCAACACGAGCAGTTTGGGTCACGCCTTTGTCCTTGGAAACATGAACGTCCCCCTGAGAGCAACTACATCCATTTTTGAATGCTTCTGTATCTTGTGATACGTTCGCCAAAGGAAGCCCGTGATCGTAGCACCCGAGCTACGGGAACAAGGAGACTGTCCTCGTTCCTATCGACATCGACTATATCGGCAAGTACTACTAAATAGCTGCAAGGCTTGTTTTTTTCTACAGGGGCGACAGGTTGGTGCGCCTGTGGAAGAAAGAAATTACCTCGAGGAGGTCGACGTCCACTTCCGGCTTTCCGCAGACCATGGTCTCCACCTCGTCCCAGTTGAACATTCCCAGAACCTAACGATGCGAACAGGCATCGCAAGCAAGTGTGTGGGTATGGAGGGGTAAACCGAGCGTGTGATGGGGGGGCTCGGATGAGTGAGTTGCGAAAACACAACAAAAGACGTTCAAACCAAAGTAAGTTGGCAAAGCCGATACACTCAGGTGCGCGAGCTGGGGCTCACATGGTCCTGCGCACATTCCGAAACAAGCACAAACAGGTGAGCTCACCGTCAGTGGTACCACCATTGCCAATCCCTTCCGGATGTGCTTGACCATGCTGCAGCATTCAGACAGGCGCTGCTTCTCCATGAGGTCCGCGTACCTAGCCCGGTGGTTAGGGGAGGATTCGCGCGCACGACGACATAGCAAAGAAGGGACCGGAGCAAACCCACGCAAATGAATCACGTGGTCAGTTCCAGTGCCCTGACGACCTCCAGAACACAACACTAAGACGAAGACAAAAATGGCGGTGGGAGAAAACAACGATTAGAGGCAAGAATAACCATCAACCACGCGAACAAAAAGAAATCCACTCGAAAATCATTGCGATGGAGCGCGTGCGAGTGAGGGAGCCAAGCAAGTCGAACTCAAGGAGGGTACAGGATCAAAGGGATGATCAACTCACTCGAAGCGGTTGTCCCACGTGACCGATATGTTCTTGCCGCCCGGCTTGAGCTCGACCTCTCTATTATCGAGAGAAACTGCCGTGAAGTTCTCCATGACGATGTCCGAGAACAGCGTACGGGTGACACCTGCGATGTGCAGCGAAAGCGTTGGCGAGCACGGTCGTTGGGGGTTAAGGGGTTTGGCCAAGTTGAGTGACGCCATTAAGATCACGCCGGCTGTGAAGCGGACGCTTGATTGGGTGAGCACCTATTTAGCACCTTAGCCTATTCCTGATATCTGCAATGATGTACTGCAGACAAGCTTGAGCTTTACCCTTCTGGTCGATGGTGCGGATGTCCTGCATGCTCCTGGTGAGCAGCACGTCCACGTTCTCGAGGTCTGAAAGCTGTACTTCCTGCCCCACCAGCGCCTTCCACACCACCACCGACAGGTTCAGGCCGATGTATTCCTTCGACCTGTTGGTCGGGATGATGAGCAACCGAACGCCACCAGTGTGCATTGGACGAGAGAAGTATGGTTGGTTGGGTACCTGTTGTGCTTGCTCAGTCGTTCTTTTGTCCATTCCTTCATCTAGATGTCAGAAGGTGGTGCTGGTCGTACTATTCAGCCCACAGTGAAAAGGAATATTGAACGGACTCGGTCGGTCTTGCTACGATAATCATTAAGGAGGAAGTGGAACCTCTCCCCACGTCTTACCATTGCTTCTGTGAAGTAATAGTAATTTTCACTTGTGGTGCTGCTGCTGCTTCTGCGGGAAAAACATGCTTCAGTTGATAAACAACCCAAGTCATCCGTAGAGAAAAAGCAATAACCCAGCGATGACGCGGATACGTCCGATGGAACTCTCCAAGAGCAACAGCAACAGCAGCAGCAGCAGCAGTGTTTCTTTGTGTAGTTGGCAAACGGCAGCATATTCTCCACTTTGGGTCACCCGCAAACCTCTTTGCACGTACGACTTGTGGCTTCTCTCTTTGATGTGGGCTGGGACTCACTCAAATCGGGGAGTTCTGTTATCAACACCTCCGACCAAATGGTAACATGAGGCGTCTCCAATGCACCTGGCTGCTTCGGCAATTTTCAGCGGACGTGGCACCGCCGCTGCGTCGGGATGGCACCACTTGCCGGTCTTCTACATCATGTGCCCCAGAGACAGCCCAAAAATCATGTGCACAACGAACGACGGTACCGGATACGATATCCTCCACAATGTCCAAGTCTTTGGGGAGCGTTACCTGCCCTGTTCTTACCTTATGGCGTGTCCCATGATCTTCCCGAGGAAGACGAACATCTCCACCTGGTCAGGCGACGTCGCCCCAGGGTTAGGCACGTATCGGTCTCGCCCCATGCCTGCCGCATGGACCCCGTTTGGCGTACGGATCAGCAGCGGCAGCGCGCTCGACTGTGCAGAAGATCGAAAGGGGCCAACGGCGAAGGGGTGGGCGACGGTACGCAGGAAGTAAGCGGGAGGGGGCGGGCACTGCACCCCACAGAAACAAACCACGCATCGTTGTATAACCGAGAAAGGGGACATTGCAACACTCCGCCGAAAGCAGCGATATCAACGCGGCGGTGTTGTCACACTCAAATTCGGAAGCAACGGAGCCAGCAAGAAAACATTGCACATTGTGTCACACCTGCAACTCCTGGGCGTACATCGACCACGACTCTCGGTACGGCCCCCCGGCGTCTTGGCTACGCTCGCCCATGAAAACGCAGTTGTACAGCTTCGAGTGCGTGCGAAGACTCCTCGGGTGCATGGTGTTCATCTGCAACGAGAGGATAGGCATATTTGACGCATTGACCATGTGGCAGCGAGGGGTGAGAACAGGGGGGTAATGGCGCAAGTCGGCATTCAGAGCGCAGGCACGCTTGGCTTGTACAGTAGAGACACCGTTTGCCCGTGGTTGAGTGGTTGGCTGTGTGCTTGACACTGTTCGTAAGCACGCGAAACACTCGTCCGTGCGGCTGTCTCACGTATAACCAACCACGGGAGATCCAAATTCGATTCACCGATGCATATGCATACGTCCCTCAGTCTCCGCACATGGCAAGATGCTTATCCCACACTATTTTGCCGAGGCTGTTCCTACGAAAACGCTGCAGGAATAAAACGATTGGCATGATTCTCTGAACTAATGGCTGAGATGCCATTCACAAGAGATCGCCGGGAGGAGACGGGCGAAACCTTTCCTCAAGAGACTGGCACGAAATCGACGCACGGAAACAGAGAGACAAGTCAAACACGACAATTGTTCAAAGATTAGCATATGCACTGGATACCTGTCTGAACGCCTGGCCGAACACAGACCATCTTCCTTCGGCGTCAGTGTGCCCGAGGTGGATGTGCTTCGCCGCCTGCACGAAGAAACACGTGGAGGTTGGGAAAGCACGTAAAACACATTTTCTTTGAAAGTCGTTTAGGCGCAAGACCTCATTGTCGGCACACCGACCGTTGAATCAGTGTTGTTAGGAGACTAGGCCGATGTCCTTACTCGGCTGGCAACGACTTTTTCAGGACATGCTTCCAATCCAAGAGCGCGTGGACAGACGACAGAAGTGCGACTGAAAACGAAAGTCTTGTCTAGCTGGCGCCGTTCGGAGAAGGAGTACTCCTGCGTTGTGGTCATGACTTCGGGAAACGAATGACCGAACGATCAGCGTGCCAGTAAATCGCCCTTGGCGATGACGCGAAACGTCGGCTTTAATACCACAGGGAGGCCGACCAAACGGGTTGCGAAATCCATACAACCCTTATAAGTCGAGAAACAAAGGGTAGTACATACGGTACATAGAATATTGTCACAACAAAGGTTGAAATCATTCACGTACGATAAGGCGGTGCGTAGGTTACCGTACCTTGGAACGGCTGAGGTTGAGATTGAACTGTCCACCGTCGGCGTAGGCCGTGTCCGACAAGGCCGAAAGCAACACCGGCTCTTTGATCGCGCGGAAGATCAATCCGCGGCAGTTGGACAGAAGTTGAGCCGCCGACAACTCGCAATCCAACTGCGGACCAAGTGACACACGAGTGTAGAATTGTTGAGTTGAACTGTTCGGAAGGGAGCGAATATGTGATGTTCAAGGGAAAACGGACGTCCTGCAATAAAGCGGTTCCGCGATAACCACAACATGCAGCACCCCGATAGCAACGGAAGAGGAAGCGTGTGTCAATGACAAGGGTAGCTGCGCATTTCCCTCGCAGGCCGTACAACGACGGTGCCGTCTAGCCAGTCCATACTAGACGTTGCGCACGCACGTTTCGTTATCCACACCACAACCATCCCAAACACACCAACTTCGCACTATACCTGGGCGAGATCGAAGTACGGCAGCGCCTCTCGGAGCTTCCTGTTCATGACCTGGAGCACCTGGAACCGCGCAGCGATACCACCTTTGTTCTTCCTGAATAGCGGTCCGACCCCTACCCTGGCCCCCTCCGCACCCTTGCCTTCACCACGTGCCCCATCTCCCGCCTGTCCCGAGACGCCTTTGGCATCCTCCTTAGTTTCAGCCAGGACCCCGTCTTCCCCCTTCGTCTCCTCCACGCCTCCATCAGGGGACTGAACGGCAGCTCCCTCGCTCTGCTTCGATGCAATGGAACCGCGTGAAGCGGCCGGCGGGCGATGCCAAAGGAACAGCTCTCGTAAAAGTGGGTCTCTGACGAGGTCTTCCTCCGATGGAGCCATGTCATCCCACGAGCAGCGAAGGAGACGCTCCGCATCGTAGGACTTCTTCTCTGCAAACGAGTTCACGTACCTAACACGATGACAACAGACGTGGTTGAAAGCATTGGTGGGCGAGCGGGAGCTGAAACGCGAAGTAGCGCGGTTCACTCTCTGAGATCGGGACATGTCGAAGGGTCTACGAGCGTGGAGTAAGGTGTTCATCTGGGAGGTACTGCGTACGTTGATTGACGCCGGCGAGAGGCACTGCCTGAGCTTTTGACCTTACTCCGAGAACATTCTGAGCACGCAAACAATTTAAGAAGCATGGATCCGGTCATTAAATCGCCCTTCCCTCCCCCCAGCAGCACGCAACTCGGGGGAGATGAATCACAGCCAGTCGCCATATAATAACATTCACATATGATGGCCATGAAGCTCGCGGCTCGCGGGAATGCAAAGGACCTACAAAAAGGGTGCCCTGACCATCATCTCCTCACAAATAATGTACCGTGTTCAAGGTCGGAGCTAGCAAACACAAAGATGACTGTCAACTAGGGTTCCATAACTTCTAAATTTCCTTGATGTGCTGAGGTGCGCCCTTCAAACACTCGATTTTCTCATGTTAAGGATGATACTTTTGCGGTAAGTCGTGACATTTTAAGGACCTCTACCCAACCGTGAGCCTGGCCTGCAATTCGTGTGAAATGTCACGGGGCGCTAACTACCAGGCTTACCGCACGAGGGCCTGGTCATGCTTCACGTCAGCGCTGCCGTAAAGCCCGCGTAGCGCCTCCAGCTCTTCCTCCACCTCGGGCAGTCCAGATAGGCCCTCAAAGGAGTAGATCGGCGTAACGGTACAGCGCCAACCCCAATGGGACAGAGTCGGCTCGACGGGGGGCTCCACAGACGTGGTCCAGGTGCAGCCAAGGTTCGGCAGAGCGGCGATTTCTGCAGGCACAGGCACATCGAACAGTGGGGGGCCAAAGCGGGGCATAAATCAAAAGCGGCACGCAACACTGTCCATGGCGCAAGAGAATCAAGTGGTTCAGACGACCAAATACTCTGCCGTTTACCGAGCAGGCTTTAGAGAACAAGCAAAAAAGTAAAGAAAACCGCCACAGTCCATACCACGCACAAGGAAATGCCCCCTCAAACAAAAATGCCGGAAAAAAAAAGGGACCAAGAAACGAACCGCGGCGCCCCCTAACTCCCCCTCCCTGTCAGGGTGTATGTGCCTCCGTAACCGGCATCAACAAGGACAGCAACCACAACAATCAGTTAGACTTGAAATTGCATGCCTCACCGGAGAAGGAACCTCGGTTGTGCAATACTGCTCCCTCGCCCTCCGTGAAGGGGAAGTTCACGACAAGTCCGGGCGACCCTGCCTCAGGCAACGCCTTCCAGGGTGGGTGACAACAGACATCGAAATGCACGAGGTGAAGGGCGTAGTCCTGACAGCATCGGCAAGTTGATACCCGAATTGGACAACAAGAGAAAAGCAGAAGCTTACCAATCGATAGGAACAGCACTCAAGAAAGCCTACGAGAGGCGCACAGATCCACACAGACATGGCAAAATGTGTAGTAAATCCATCTTTCGCACCTTGAGCCTCATCGTCACATCAGCGGCGCCCAACGCTGTCGACCAAAGGCGGAGATCGTACACGTGGCCATTAAGCGTACCCACGTTGTCGAGAGAGTCCCCCAGCACCATATCGCAATCCTCTATCACCATGCGCGATCCTGAGGAGTCGTCCGGTAGACATGGCGATGCGTTAGTTCGTGGAACAAACCTGGTTGCTTGCTCGATCTCATACTGATGACCCTAGACACTCGAAAGCAATACAACACAAATGCTATAATAGTGGCGTAAAAACACAGAACGGTGCAAGTACCTTGGAACGACCCGCTGGCCACCTCAGAACCATTGACGAACAGCTTGGCGCTCCCAGCAGCATCAATGGAGAATGCCACGTGTCCCCAACGTCCCGGGGCGAGAACGCCGCCGCTGAAAGAGATGCCAGGGGTCAGGCCATTGCTCTGGTACATGTTCACGTGAACGGTCGCCCGCCGACGGTCTTCCAGAAGAAGATGGATTGGATGCAACAGGAGAAAGCGCCAGATGGGGGGGAAGCAGGATCACGACTGATATGCCTGCACACTAACAGGCTACTCTGGCATTACCAATAGCTGTAGGACCGCGGTTTTACCAGAAGGAAGGAATCCAGATTACCCAGTGGATCTTTTGGAGTGTGACGTCCACACCTTACAAGGGGCGATTCTCGTCTGTGTGGCCGAGACAGCTTGATAACCTACGGGTGCTATTGGGAAAGCGCGCCCAAGCAGCATTGACCTCGAAGCACCTAAAACAAGAATATGTACGAACTCGATTCGGTTATCACGACGTATGTGCCACCATCAACCACTGCCGTTGCCCTCAAGCGAAGAAGCACGCTTGGCTCACCCATCGTTGACACTGCATTGATGTTGATCTGGCTGATCCCATCCATGATACTCCGAGACAAGAGCGGGTAAGCCCTCGATTCCAAGCCACCGTCCACGCTTGCCTGTCGAACAGACACAACAAAAAGAAAATGGTTTTGAGTCGACGTGGCAACAGCAAGCATGAATGAGGGTTGGGCAACGACCCCACAGCTACACCTCGCCACGGACGGTTTCTCTCCCATAGATGTCAATTCTAGGTGTCATACAACGAAACTTGCCTCGAGTCTAAACCAGGCCTCCACGGTGAATTCACCGGACAGCAGATCCCTGCCCATGCTCGGCTTCAGCTTAACCGACACGCTGGCCCCGTCTCGCAGTCGTAGGCGGGGCGTGGAAGCACTGCTGCTGCTGGACTGTATCGATGATGGCTCCGAGACAGAGTCTGGGTCGACTACGGGAAGTTTCATGCCAAGTTATCAGGGAGGGTTGGGGAGAACGGGAGGAGGGCGGGGTACCGTGCCATGGAAGCGTCGAGCGTCATTTTCGTCTTTAGCGTGCAAAGCTCTACGGGAGGATTGCCGGCATTTTACAACGAATTACCAGGCGGGCGACTCTAGAGGGGCGAAGGCAAGCACATTCTACGCCATCATATCATAGGGTCCAGGTACGCTTGTCAACATCAAGTTGATGCCTGGACCGCTCTCGTTGCGTGACAGCTCTGTGTATCGAACAATGGATATTCTTGTGTACTCGTGACGAGCTCTGGAAAGAAAAGACACGATGAGACACGTCTCAGGGGAAACACTATTATAATAGATCGTGTTCCACAACGCCGAATCGCCACGTATAGGCGTGCCTCACGACATCACGTCAAGACTACCGGACACGACGCAATCTGTTCCAACCAGGCCGCGCGCATGTGCTTCCTTCTCACCGTGGATGGAGAGACTGTCGCCCTTGATGACGATCGGTTTGGTGGATGTGCTGCTGTGCGCCACGATGAGGACATCGAAGCAGCCCTCGTGGTCCCACCTTCGAATATCGGTACAAATCATGGAGCAACAATTATACTTTCCAACAAGGGGACCGGTTGTGTTGAGACCTTGAAGCTACGAGGTGTTATGAACATGGGGTTGACATCTTTGATTGTACGGGTAGCGCTGTCCTTCGTAGGCATCAGGATGAGTAGAAGATAGGCTGCTCCGTACAACATTGTCGCACCTGTACAGACCGACGAACGAAGTGTCAGCCCAGCGGACCTTGACGCCACTGCGAGGCTTGCCCTTCCAAGGTCGGATCTGAAACCAAGCACGTGGACAACAAGGATGGATCGTGAGAGAACAGCGCTGTAAGATATCGCCGTGCGGACAGCAAAGTCAGAGGTGTCCTGCACCAAGACTTGCGTGCGACCCATCACATTTTTCCGCAGTGTACCACAAGGAAAGAACCCGACGAATATTGACGTACGCTGCATTAGCAATAGGTCGAAAACCAACGTGGCAGGCGCAACAATGAAACACTACATACACAGGACATTTCACTCGTCACGTGCACCATTGCCCCTCTCACATCAATGACGGTGCCGTACCCCCCCGGCCCTCCATCGTCTTCTCCCCAGTTCCACGCGGGGCCCCTCACCACGCTATCACCAACAGCAATACTTGCCAAGGTGCCACTGCTGGATTTACATCCCTTCGCGCTGTTGTTGGAGCCTAAAGAGGACTCCGTTGCACCCACCAAGCCTTGTAGCACTCGTTGCTGCTCCACGAGATCGAAGCAAAAAAACATACAGCGATGAACCGAAGAAAAGAAAATACCATGACACAAGATTTGGTAAGGGACGGGAGCCGGATCACTACTCCACATATCTGGTCCTTTCAAGGGAGCAAAGGATGAGCATTTGCAGCTCGAAGCGGGAACCTCATTCAACGCGTTATTCTTGAAAGAAGCTAGAAAAATCAGAATCCCCTTGGCGGGTTGGCCGATGATTTCAGTCATCAGGACGGCTTGAGACACACTGCGGCACGGTAATCCACAAAGTTCAGTGAAACAACGACTGTTTCGGTTCTCCACCACGCACCAGCCCTTGGTCGCTATCCCCGTAAACGCTGATCTTGTCACCAGGCCCCATGGACGTACGCACGTCGAATACGACCTGGAAAGGCAAACGCAGGCGGAAGGATTACACCAAGAGGGCACGCGAACGTTCAACTCGATAACATCAACCAGACAAGTCTCACCATTCGTCAATGGAGCCACTTCGTTGGGTATGCTTGTTCCTGCCATGCGTATCGCACGCAAGGTGCTATTGCCGGTGCCGGCGTGTAGCAACCCTACTTTACCGGGCTGACCTTACGAGAAGCTGCTCATCAACCTTGCTACGAGGTCACATCAACATTAAAACTCAAGGCAATCACGTACCTCCAAGCTCGTCGCTCCCTTGATGGTCACAGTCTCCTCGGTATGGCTAGCCCCGAGAGGGTGAGACGATTCCAAAGTCAGCGCCGCCCGTTCCTGGCACTGAGAACACAAGCGGCACGTTGTCGTCAATGACAAGCCAATGACAGGCAAAACGAGCGAGCGACGAAGGCTGTCCTCTTCGAGCTCTTTGCGGGTTCATCCGACAACGTCCGGAGCCTGTTCTTGTCGAACAGCAAAACTTCAAGCAGTTTCCGCAAACTTGAGAATTTTCAATCACCAAGCAGCATGAATTGGTTCGTGACGTTGCTGACTGGTGTTGCCGAAGGTGAAGGCGAAGTGCGGGAATGTTGCACTCACACTTGGCAGGAGCTCCTTCGCCACAAAGGTGGCTGGAAGCTCTCTCTTGAGCACCGCCGACATGAGCTCCATGCTTTCCTTCACGCCCTCCAGCCACTCCTCTCCCCTAATCGCGCACAGCTCCCCGCCCTCCAACCTTGCTCCCCACCAAGTCGTGTCTCCCGATGGAGACAAAGAAGTTTTAGTCGAGCACAACGGCAAAGGCGGCCGCACTATCTGCACCGCGTTGTCTTTACCCCCCAGCATAACCGCTAGGTGCAGAGCTTCCCCGTCTCTCCAGGGAGGGAATCGAGGAGTCTCGTCGTGCTCGATCCGCGCGCTAGAGCCGTTTGGCCCGAAGGCGAGTCCGACTAAGGCCTGCAGCAGACACATCCGGGCGAAGCGAATAAGACGCGAGGTACCATACGACGCCGGACAAAGCACCAACACGCGTTATCCCACACGATCGCTGTAGCAGTTCACGAAATAGCCTAATCAATGGTGCGTACCACCCGCATTCTTGTACTGAGCAAGCAACCCTTCCCCACACTGAGAATATTGTTGGTGGGGATGACTTTCGTGGGCTTTGGTTTGCGGGGATTCGACGTGTCACAGTACAGTTGTGGCAAACGGGGTCGCGAAAAGGGTCTCGCTACATGCTCGTCACGGCGCCATTTAAAATTATGTGCGCCACGCCTACAAAGCATCGTGCTGTCAACAATCTCGGGGGAAATCTAGAGTATACAGATACTCTCGCGAGCATCTCGTCTCTCTTGAATCAGACATACACTTGTCGGTAGTGTTCCTAACAATCATATCGTGACATCGCGTCGTGGGCTTGTCCACGTTCACCAAAAACACCCAAGTGCGGTGTAGACTCAGGGAAGACAGAGCTTTCAGACGGCCCACAGACCGGATGAAGATAAGAGAGGGTTCGAGCACTCGGTACGGCGACATTCGTCCTCCTACGGCAACAGGATGTCCTTGCCTGGTTCCTGTAAAATCTGACTTCCTTCTTGAGGGCGTCGACCTCCACGGTGACCATGTCGCCAGCCTTGATCTTTGGCCCGTACGGCAAGGGCATCCATTGCCAAGCCATCTGCAAACACAGAAAGGGTCCGGGACGAAAAGCAGGAAAGTATTAGAGGTAGGGGCTATGCTGTGAAACCTGTTTCGGATAAAGGGTACGGTGGAGCATCTATCGCTCCAGCAAATGGTGTGTTGCCATTGGGGCGGATTCTCCACGCGAATTTTATGACGCGGTACAGTCCTTCGGTCGCGGTATAGTCCTTCCGTCGCGGCATGCATCGAAGCTGGGTGGTTAGTTCTGTCTGGGAATCTCAGAGTTCCATGTTTCCTCACGCGATATCTCGCTTTTCGGTAAATATCCTCGCAAGCCAATTCTTCGGGAGACGAACCCTCTCGAGGCTAGACTCTGATCTCAAATCATCAACACCACCCGACGTTACCACAACACCAGCCAACGTTACCACAACACCACCCGACGTTACCACAACACCACCCGACGTTACCACAACACCAGCCAACGTGCCCAAACAACAAACAACAAACAACAAACAACAAACAACAAACAAGAAACCAATGGGATCTGTGAGGAACAATACCCACCTGGAGGTTCCCGTCGCAACCCCAGGTCAGCAGCCACGACGGACCTCCCACAGAGGTGTTAGGCTGGAAAACTCCCAACCTGAGGCCTGACCTGAGGCCTGATTCAGATACTGCCAGGACCTTGACGTGCCACCTTCGCCGCAACAAGGGGAAGCAAGAGGGTGAGACCAAGGTGCGATAGGACAATTATCATGAATGTGCTGATATCCTGAAAAGGTCAACCGCTGATAGTCTGGGTGACAAGCAGCCCTGTGTGGACCGCATCTGTGTGGCAGCTTCAACGGTCCTCCGGCATGTGCACAACAGAGTGTTGACATCCAGACGCATGGTCGTCGTGAGTGAAGGATAACGGACAGCAGCAATGGACACTGGACAGCCTTCTGTAAGCATGTTAATGGTTCGCTCGCAATGTATTCAGCGCAAGTGCCCACCTGATGAACCCTCGCCCGCCCATGCCCACAGGAGCAACGAAGCCTGGAGTTGCCACAAGTGGCGCGGTGTCGATAGCGTTGGACGTCGAGCGCACTAGTCGGTCATCGTCCGACGTCTCCACGTTTGCACGTTGCGACCACCTGGGGAAAACAGCCTCAGCACCTGCTTTGGGGTATTCGGGGTGGCCGTGGTAACTAGAATATTGGGATTGGGAACCGATTTGCGGCTCTGAGGGTCCCATCGCAACACGAGACTTCGGGCTTTCGCTTGATCATGATGGTTGGTGGTAACGGGCAACTTGCTATGCCGGTGAGGGCAACGAGCGCATCAACTGCAGTGAACTCGTGACGCTGGCGATCCAGCCGTCGCATGCGGCCGGTTTAACGGGTGACACGGTAAGTCTACAAAACATCGCAGCACAATTCTTCACACTTCACAACACGTGCCGAAAAAAGGCTACTTGCTTACAGGCGATGCCTGCACAGCATGCGCACTACTAGCAAACCCACCGTCTCGTAGAACAGTGCCCGGTTCTCGCTTCTTGTTGCACTCGTCGGCTACCACGCAAGCCTAATTGTTCGGGCACGAAAGAACAAGGGAGGGCGTTTCAGTTTCGGGAAACGAACAAAGAGTATGCATCGAGTGAAACGTGCCCGATACATGCGGCAGCCGACTAACTCCTGGAGAAGAAAGGAAAACAGCCTCCGGGCGCCCGTAACCGCCCAACCCCCTGCATAACACGTCCAAGGGCCAAAACCGCGGGAATTCTGCCACGAACCGCTGACGACGGGATCAAGGTTCAACGTGCATGGCATGGGCACCGATGCCCGCTATATCCGAGGACATCTAGCACTCGCCGCGTGCGCCTCCCCACGACCCTTATCACCATCCCCATATCCCCAAATGCAACACGAGGCCAACTAACCTGGACCAGCGCCTGAAGCAGCGGGCTCCTCGTGGAGATTCCCTTGTCTTCCTCCGCCTTGGCCTCCTTCTTCGCCAACTCCAGGAGGACTGGCACTGGTCCCGCAGGCTCGAACATTGCTTCAAGCCGGTCGTCCCAGTCTGCTGCCTCCAAGGAGTTACAGTCTGCTTTCGGCGAGCAGGCGCTCTGTAACAGCGAAGAGATGAGGCGCACCACCCATATCTTGGCCTTGTTGTCAGCCGCCTCGAGGAACCTGCCAACAACCCACAAGAAAACGACCCAGGTGTAATTCCCCTCGCAACGTGTCCTGCGCATTCTGCTGATCTTCTCGTAAAGGTTAGCTCGACGCGAAGTCTACCACACGGGTTTGTGGTTCTCATTCGTGTTCAAACCCGCTGTACCTCAGCTCCCCCTGCGACGCAGCGATCACCTTGCCAAGGTCTCCATTGTGGAGAACCGGTGCATGAGTGTCTTGAGATGTTTGCTCTGCGATTCCTTCGCCAGTGCCTCCAACAGCCAGCACGCCAGCTCAGTTTCCGGGTCGCCCACCTCCTCCTGCAGCTGCCTGTAGGCCGCTCGCTCTTCGGGTGTTGGCTCCTGTGCCAAAAGTGGGGGGACGCAAATCACACGAAACAAACCTTCACGTGTAGTGCAGCTCGGAAAGAGGAGGGGGGGGGCTTTCTCGGTCTTCACATGCATAGCATTAAGCGCTATGAAATCCTGCCTTGCAGCGTGCTCTCGAAGAACTCGTACATAGTGCATGTCGGCAAGAAGAGGCAAGGAGTGGTGGGTGTCGTGACTTCCACCCATAGGAATGCATACAATAGCACAAATCTTGAAGAAATAGACCACACGTTTCTTGACGTGGGCGAGATATGCCACGGATAGCTCTGAACTGTAGTATCGCGAAACTCCGACTCACGGCGTGTTGGCATCATTTCGTACCTGCATAATACCGTACGCGTGCATTCTGACACCCCAGTCGTTGTTGGACGCGTCTGAGTGGAAGTGGACCTCGATGGTGTTCGCCTGCGAAACAGAAAATAAGAATGGAGATGGGGATAGACGCCGGCCGGTGTGGTTGTGTTTGCGCCTCACTGGACTCGCGAGTCCGAGCTGCGAAAACGAAGCCGGTTACAAAAGAAAACCAATCTAAAGGACGAGCGTGACCTACTCAGGTCGCATTAGACACCGACACTAACCACCAAACCAGTAGAGGTGATCACACCCTCGGGTGCCATGGTTGAAGCAACGCCAGGCCGACCGCACATCCACGAGGCGCATAGTCAAGACCATGAATATAGCTACAAGCCGGCAGGCACGAAAAAAGTATGATGTGCTCTTGCTCTGAGAAGCACTGGTGTGGTAATACACCACGAACAAGCACAGGTATGGCAAAATACGCACCTCGATCGTGAGGGGAGGCAACCCTGCGACCCCTGCCCAGATCTTCCCTCGCGATGTCGCCGGTCCGTTGTACTTGTGCTCACCCCAGTAGGCAGTGTGCTCTGCGTCTGTAACGAGGAATAGGTCGTTCAGAATGACAGTTTCTTCCGCCGTCACAAAGACCACAAGCAGTTGTCCACACTAAACTGTAGAAAACGCCCCTCACCACACAATAAAAAAACGACGAGTAGACGAACGACTTGGAGGAATCACCATCTTGCGATGCCGTCTCGTTTCAAGTGCGTTATCCCTTGCCCTAGACGAAGGCGTATACCGTCAGGCTAGGTGACTGATGGTGGGCGTGCAATGACGTTACGATGATGTCCAGGTATCCAACACTTCTTGTCTGCTACTGGAGACGTTTTGGGCCTCCTGTGACATGGCTAACCTTTGTATATCCTGACGAAGTCGCACCCCATCTCCGTACTGCATCTCTCATCGAAAACCACGCGGATCCGCTTGGCCCCAGGGATAGATATCTGCAGCAACAACGAAACCAAGCACGGAGCGTTAGAGCGGTGGCCCGACAGAGTCACGACGACATGTTGGAAGAGGCCAACAAGTACAAGTTTCTGTCCCACAGTGACCGAGGTATCCCTACCGTTCCTACCGGAGAAACAACGCTGCGCGAAATACGCATCGGCATCAGGGGATCGGAGACAGACAAGCAGGAACACAACCCTTGATGTTTCCCGCTGCGTGTTGTAGCAATTTAGATGGAGCTACCGCCCTGGACACTCTGTACATGGACAGCCCTAACAGCAACGGAGTCGTGCTCATACCTGCAAAACACACACAACGAGTAACACGAACTTAGCTGTTTCATCTTCCGGATTTTCAACAAAGCCTGCTTTTACGGCGGTCTCCAGCTACCCCCGCAGTCTAGCGGCGAACACTCGTCTTCAACAAGGTCGAAATGCCCTACAGGGGGACTACGAGAAGCGAGATTGCAACGCGGGTTGCTGGGTACCTTGGTGTAGGTGTCCGTGTTGTCTGCGTAATTGTGAGCCGTCTCGAAGATCCTGGCCACAGCCTTCGTCGGACACAGGAACTTCGAAAGAGAAACAGCCGTCTTCAGCTGCCATTTGTAGACAGGTAAGACAGATCGGAGAAAGCGAACGAATCCGGCACAATCACGGTACTCTGGAGGTGAACCAAGTATTAAAGAAGGGCGTGGGATCCAAGGTCGTATTGGGACGACGATGCTGGGGCCCCGCTTGCGAAGCAAAAGCGGCACAAAAGCGGCACATGCCAGCAATAACTCGACCATGAGAGCCCCACTGTGAATGGCTGAACACTTATGCCAAGGAGGTGTGAGAAGGAAGACACGGAAAGTCTGTGCACGTCGGTGCGCTAAGCTTGAGCGGGCCCCGTAACCGAGCACAACAATGCGGCTGACTTCAAGCAACAGGCAAACTGGGATCAACAGCGCGAACCCACCTGGTGAAGGGCAAAGGCCATGAGCATGTCAGCAATCTTCTCCCCTTCCTCAGATGATTTCTGCCCGACAGCGCCTAGGATCTTCTTCTTCAGCACCTGTGACGAGCCGAACGGGAAACCGTAGCATCAACCACGGAGCGCTCAACCCGTTTGTTGCGCATTACACTTATTTTCTCCACACACAGGAAGTTATCCAAGAGAGTTCCGATCCGATACTCTTCGACAACCCATAATAGACGTTGTTGACAATTGCAACCGGGTGAACCGGTTGTGCCGTGGAGAAAGCCGTAACCATATGGTCCTTGAGAAAACAATTTTCAGACGGAAATTCATATCCTGGCGAAAGAGGGAAGAAGGGGGGCGGTGTGCATGTGTATCTGACAGGATGAAAAAAGCAACATGTGTCGCGTTTGATCACCTCGAGGGCCGCGATGTCCACGTCGCTCTCACTCTCCCGCGCCTCAGAATACGTTGCGCGCAGCAAGGTCAAGAACCTGACAAGAGATGTTGAGAACACGCGGTGGATTCATCATTAATCGTGCAGTCTTCTGCGAAACTAGATTTTCTCACGTAGGCATCGTCCGCTTCCGCTCTGGAATCGTATTCGAAACATCCAGCGGTCTCCTATCTGATTCGTATCCTTTTCGTGAGGTACCCCACATGAGGGTTAATGTCAACCTGCACTTGACACCGTGCAGGGCGCGAAGATATAGCTGTCGCTCGCACTCACATGTGGGGTCCTCCGTAGTCATCGAGCGCTAATGGAGAACATCCGCTGTTGTTGCCGGGATATGACGATTCAGCCGATCCAGCAAGAATCCTCGTGAGGGCCTGAAGAAAAAGTTCGCATAAGGACGCGGTCGCAACATGTATCAGCAGTCCGCGTGAGCACCTCCTCAAGTAGTCAGGAACGCGTCTAATGTACCCGCCAACGCAGATGAACGGGTTGTCGTGCTTTTCTTGCTGCAATGGTGTCTCGGGAACGATGAAAATCCACCAAACAAGCAAGACGCCTTCCAAAAAACCTCCGGGAACCCAGTCTCACCAGGCGGCTGAACCTAATGGCCGTCGCGTGCGAAGTCTCAGTCAGCGCGCTCCAGAGCCTGTGGCCTTCACTGGTCAGTTCAGCACCGGCCTGAACCCCGAAAGCACCCTGTGATGCCGGCCCCACCTCGTGTCCTTGCGGTGGGTCCACAACCTACGAAGAGGTTGTTACGTGTGACAAGTGTAGCAGTTTTTAGCGGGTTCTTGGAGACATCTACTCACGAGGGAGGTAAAGCGGACGAGTGTTTCCTGTTGTAACAGGTTGATTGCCCTTGAATCGATTCACCGTCTTAAATCAGTAGCCGCTTAACCAACACACCATGGGGTTCCGCCAAAGGACAACAAAAACAAAGCGTGACCTCAAGACTGCAGGACGGCGCAGTGCCGTCGAAACGAGCACTGGCTCAACCTTGCCTCGAAAGCAGCGCCCTCTGTTCCCGATGAAGCCCTGCCTGCCGTGCTCGCTGCCTCTCTCTTATCAAGGGAAATGACGTCTTCCTCGTCAGGGAGCGTGACCAGGTGCGATGAAGCTTCCTCCCTTGGCACCTTTGTACGTTGGGAATGGCGTGGACGATTACTTGTTTTGATTCGCGAAACGAGGACATGCTTACGTGTCAAAGGAAGTCCGCTTACAATGCGTTTTCTCCGCGAATGGCACCGTTGCATGGAGCAAGGGAGCAAATATAAACCTGATATGGTAGCCACATGCTACCCGTAGCCCGAAAGGCTGGAATGGAGGTTACAAAACGCCTGCAACTTTGCAAAGGAGAGAATTTACACGATCTAGGCGAAAATGTCTAAACTTGCACCTGGGAGACTAACGTCATTGCTCTCCGGCAGATTGTGTGCCGCAGCTCACGCCTAATCGCCACATCCAAACAAGCGTAGCTGGCGAGTTGTGCTGGATATATGCAACCGGTCCGGTTCCAAGTCAGAGGACGATGAAACGACAAATTTGCGTGCCACCGTGTCTCATCACCCTTCCTCGAACCTCATCCGGAATGCGGCCATCTCCGTGAGACACAACGATCGAAACCAAAAACACTCACCATGTACAGCATATCTCCTTGCCGGCGTAGCGCCCACATGGCGTCCACGTCGCCCTTGCCAGCGGCAGCGGGGCTCATCCTGAACGCCGTGGTGACCTTCTCGAAAAACTCGTCATCTTTCTCGGATGACATCTCGCCGCCCGTCCCTCGCCTCTGTGTTTCATCGAATCTAACACACAGCTCCTCGAGTCGCCGGAGAGCGGCTTGAACCGGAACAATGATCGGAATTACTCTCATCCAGTCACCTCTCTCCTCCACCACAAGCACTTGCGTGTTGATCCGCACCTTGCTCACCTATCACCATCCACATTACGAGGGGGCGAGGGGGGCGGGAGGCGTGGACGTAACATTCAACCCGTGCAGTTGTTGTTACAGGGGCTGGCTCAAGGTGTTGCCTGCTGCACCGGCGTCCTGAACTTCGAATGGCCTACTTGCATGTACACCATGCCCCGGAAATATGGGACTGAGACAAGCAGCAGCTCATCCGAGAAAAGCGACAACAGCACGCCGCCATACTTGAGGCACGCGGCCCGAACATTCGTCGAAAGAAAAATGATCTCGAGCGCTCGCTACAAGTTACGCACCTCGTCGGAGTCCGTTCTTGGCGCTGCTCTCAGCGAAATCTCCTCCGCATCGCGCGGGTTGACCACGAACACCCTCAGCCCGTACCGTCTGAGACACCTGGGTATCTTGGGCATCCCCACAGCTGGCGAATCCGCCGTCGACACGGCGGAGAGGTCAGTCTTGGCGGTCTGGGCCTCAAAAAAGGAGTCCCAAACGATGGGGGAATGGATAGACGATGGCCAGGACGGCTCGCCCACGCGCATGCTACTGCCATCGGGCAGAGGCTGGATTGCTGGTTCGGCTTCAAAATTTTCCAGACCCAACGCTTGGGGCTGGACGCCGCGAGAGGGTAAATCAAGAACGTGAGCGAGAAGGAAAAGCAACGTTGATTGGCGAAGGTATCTTCCATACTCAGGTCTGTTATCCCGTAGCTTTCGCAAGACCTTCATGTTCGTGGTTGCTGTATAAATTTTCGATTTCTACATTCGTCGTTGAGTGTGTGACCCCACCGTTCGCCTATGCGATCTGCTGTATATTGGTGCTTATAGCACGCCACCACCGTATCGCTATTTCCATGTTTGCTCTCCACCACATGTGGAATGCTCGTCTGGTGTCGCTGCACAAGGTCATTGCGGGCATTTCTGTCCCGGCCCACACCAATAAAGCTTCGTTGTAAAAAGGATCTTCACAATCTCGATAGTCCCTAATCACATGGGAATAGTCTTTTGTGTATTCGGAAAAGTAGGCAAGTCGTCCATGAAAAGTCTCTGCGGGCGCGGACTAGGTCATACATGCTGTCGTCCTTCGAAACATCGTGTTGTAACTGATGTCACCTGCTCCTTCGGGCAGTCCCGGCATATGCGTAGCAGCGACGCCAACTTGCTGTGAAGCATCGGCGGGGGAAGACTAGCCGCATCCATCTTCTCCATGGTGGGCGTCACAACCATCCGCCACCCCCAGTCGTTCACCTGGCAAAGGTCATCGGGTTGGGTGGTCATGGAAAGTTGGCGTTTCGCATCCGTCGGCTGTTGTATCGTTGACTGGACTTCCGTAAGTACATAGGGTGGACATAAGGTGGTCGAGAGATCACGTGGGTCATGAGAGATGCCAAGAAAATTCAGGGAAGCTTCGGTTGTCAACGTTAGCGCAGCGCTCGTTTCCCTACGGCCACGACGGAAAAGGCGCTGCGCGTACGCCAAAGTGTGCACGGGACACCCGAAGTCTAACCTCGAAGGTACCCAGATGCGCGTTTATTGCAGGCAGCATGCCGAGGAGTGCGAGGAGAAACACGTCTTCTTCAGCGATGCATCTGTATTCCGGTGCCGCCGCAGTTGGCAATGAAATACTCTGTCGACAACAACGAATCAGCCCCTAACTAATAATCCTCCCCGACCTTATCCGGCCAACAAAGACAAAGAATCCAACACACAGGCAAGCATTCGTCCAAAACCGCAATGAAGAAAACATGCTCGCATCCAAGATATCATTGTCCGATGGTTATCCCCGACGGAACTTACCGATCCGTCAGTCCGCCAACGGAAGAAGAAATGGCTAGCGGGGATCTCAAGCGGAGGCCGTCCTCCCGTCCCGGGCCAGTTTGATGGATGGCCGTCTTTCCCCCCGGTGTATTTGTTGTCCCCATACACCTTGGACATGGTCTCGTCCGCGTAGAAGACCATGAAGTCGCACCCCTGCTCCGTCCTGCGAGGTATACGCATTAAACAGGGGTTGCACACGTTGCTCACACGACGCTACTTGTCATGGCGCGTCGCTTTTTTCTTCGATCGCGCAACACCTGTACCTTGCGTGTGCAGGGTAAAAGCAAAACATCTATTAAGCATCGACAGGAAAAAGTCGACCATCCGAACTGTGCAAACGCCATGTTACGTGCGCTCATTCACATCGGCAACAATGTGGCGCAATAACGCAGATCGCTGCTTACCTGGACCTGTCATCGAAGGAGATAACAAGCTTCTTGGCTCCCTCGATGCGGACCGTCTCCTTCCTATCGGCGTTGTGGGAATAGGGATGCTCGCTTTCGACCACCACCTTGGTCGCGCGTGGTATCGCCATCTTCTTCACGTCTGCCGGTCCCGTAGCCATTACAGTGACGTGATGAGAGATATTTGCAACATTCTGAATCTTCTCAAAGCAAGCGGGAAATCGCACAGTTGTCGTCAACACCAACAGTTCACTTTCATTGACCAATGGTATCAATCCTGGCCAACCCAAAACCTTTGGCGCCGCCGCAGACGCTGCTTCAACAACAATAAGTACGTTTCGTGAATCTCTTGACTATGTGGGTACAACCACGACACGCTAATCATTGCCAAACCACACCAGTACTCGGAAAGGCTAGAGCGTGTATCTGAACAATAGAGACACTCGCGCGCTGTGCGAAAAATATATAAGAAAAAGTTTCGTACCGTCCTGGGAACTGTTCTTTCCCAGCGCACGCTCGGCGAGCGACTTGATCAGCGGCTGCGCGTGTGGTACGAACTGCGGCCATGAGGTCACCAGCGATATGAGAGCCTGCATGCATCAAACGCGAGTCAAAAGGCAAACGATCAATGTAAAAAATACTAGCCCTGGACGGCTGCAAGCCCCGGATGGCTGCAAGAGCGGAAAGTCAAACGAATGGCAAAACACAACCAAGAACAGGCGATACTGGGCACCTCAACAACGATTGGCCCATTGGCCAAGACAAAGACATACATCAATCCGCACATATGCTTTCCGAACGGTGTCTTGGCGTGCGGCACGTGTGCATATAAATGAGCACAGAATGCAATTCTGGACAGAGAAAAATGCCAAGTAAACACGGTAAAACACCGTGTCGAGCGAACTCTCCACCAAACACGGTTTCAACACAGCAGCATCAGTATCACTTCAAGAAAGGAACATGACAATTCTCGGGGATGAGGAAGATTTAGCGGCCATGTATACACAACACCGCAGCATGGACAGCTCTCCCTTCAGCCCTCGACATCAGAAAAACAGTCAAATTGTAAATGTTCATACGACGGTGCGACAGCTTTCAGTTGGAGTGCCTTCAACCTGTGTACAAACTTTGCTGTTCATACCTTCGCCCCACAGGCCTGCAGCAAAGACAAGGCGGACGGTCCCAAAAGCGGTGGCCTAGCAGCGATGGAAGCAGATCGATAAGAGCACAGGACGGACAGTTCGACACGAAGTTCGACAAAGGGGGGCGGCAGTTGCCATGGCACAGTTAAAAAAGAGGTGACGTTGAGAGGAGAAGCGAGCCCATGCCTTCAAGATGATACACGCAATGCACAGGTTACGCATAGACCAATAGAACAACAAAACCGAATTGAAGGGACGCCACGCGTTGACACCGATCCCCTGTGGTGCACGGTGGCATAACAAACCTACGTGTACGCTACCACCCTTTCACCGCGTGTTCGACGCACTTTTTTCGACTCGGAACGACTCATTGTCGACCATTCACAAGCATTACAATCGCCACCTGACCAACGCTTAAAATATGGAGAGCGATAACAATTCCTGCTAGCGTCGAGGTTTGCTGTTTCCCTTGGAGGGTACTTAGATGTACGTCAGCTTCCTTCAGCCACCACCGCCTCTCCTGAGACCCCTGCCTTCTTACACAACTAGCGTCGTACAGCTGCAAAACAGCTGTTTGCATACCGAATGCGTCATTCAATACAGTGGCGATTGGCGCCATCCACCCAAAGCCAAGGTCAAGGTACACCGCTCACCGCTCTGGTGGAAGGGTGAAGGTCTTGCACTTGGCCTTGGCTACGATGCGGAAACCCCAGTCCGGATTTCGATCCTCGGAGTGGAACTTGATGACGCAGCTCGATGCAGGCACGCACACGGCAGGCCTCCCATCCAATCCCGGCCCTGAAATGAACGATGGTCGAAGTTCGTTAAACTCACAGGCTGAAAGGCGGGTTGGGCTTGGATTCAGGCTGAAGCCTCGGTACAGAAGCCCAAGACATCATCGGCCATACTGCATGTGTCATCAAAGGTGTTGACAGCAACCCTTCGAGGCTTGCATGAGGCATTTTCAATGTCTGCGACTCACGATTGGACTCACATTCTCTGCGCTTGCCTGCCGTTCGCCCTGCCGACAACCCTTGGTTCACTCTGTGGTTTATTGAGCTACAAAAATCTCGGAGAAATTTAACCACCCTTCTGACATACTCCTGGTCAATTTCTCAAGCTTACCCCAAAATCCCGCGTATATTTTTTGTATCCCCAACGATAGGCACCCGGGCTAGTTCGCCTGTGGATTCGACTATTGGTCGACATGCTCAGAACTGGTGTCTTGTCTAGTTCTTCACATTCCAAACCCGTGTACGCTTGTCCTTGATCTTCCAAGTGGCTGACTCACAGTTGCCGTGCTTGTCTCGGCCTTGGTACATGCTCTCCCCCCAGATAACCGTGTGCGTGTCGTCCTTGTAGATTCTGATGTACGCCGTTCCTTCCTCGGTGCGGCAGTCCTCGTCGAAGAATAGCTGGAAGGACGAAGTCAATCAATAAAGCGGACGCCAACCACACACCAGAACAAAAAAACGTGGTAATAAGCGAAGAGGGACAAATGCACGGTACGTGCAACTGCGAGCTTCCAGCAACTCAACCAATCCGGGTTGATCCCACTGCAAAAAGAATGCAAGGCTGCGATTCACGCTACCAACCTACCAAGGTTAGGCGCGCGCCTTTGATCCCTGCGCAGCACCTGCGTAGCACCCCGCATTGTTAAACAGAGCACATCATCCTCCCGCAAAAAAATCGTGTTAAACAGAGGTAACCCATCCACTGACCTCTATGCTGTCCGCTCCTGGAAAGTCTAGCGGGTAAATATCGTCGACGCCTCTCGCGTGAGGGTGGGAGCTTTCGAGGATGCGCTCTTCGTCGGATACGACCACCGAAGGTTTGTGCCTTCACCACGTGCAAGACGAAATGACGGCGAGCGCCGTGGAGGGAAGGGAGAGGGATGCAGGTAAATGCCAATTTTTTCGTGGAACAGGGGTGCGCTAGACACGCCAAAGAGTGTGTGCACGGGCGAGACATGTTGCGTTGGAAGGTCCCGACGCTGAATCTGCCGGTAGTGCCTCATGGCTGCATATCCAAAGCACCAGATGATGACGCCCTAGGCAACCCTGCAAGCTCCACTCGGCGTGTACATGACGGATCACATCTACCACATGATTTCCGCTGGCGACCAAACATCAGCTTTGTTCTATCTCCTGTCTATCTCGTGCATGGACCAACAATGAAACTGCACCGACCGTGAGCAATACGCGATGCGGATGTCCTCCTGCCATATGTCTTCCATTCGCACCTGACTCTCTTGTCCATGGCGTCCGCAGCCGATAGGACACCGAATGCCTCCACAAGGGGTTTGACAAGTCCCTGTGGGACGTACGGGATAAGGCCGGGTGTCCCCTCTTCCCTCGCGGTAGCGACCGCCGCCTCCGCCGCTGCCGATAGCTTAACACCTCCCCTCGGAGGAGATTGCAGGTTGAAAGGGGGGGATTCCAAAGCCGACAGGAAAGAGGGCGGGAGCGGGGCGGAATCCGGGGATACGCGTCCTCGCGGAAGGACTCGCGGGGTTTCCGGCTCCGAGTGCAGGCAAACGATGACGGCATCGCCTAGAGACTGCGGCGAGGGGGCAGCCAGACACGACAGGAGAAAGGACACAAGGAGGGGAGTTTTATTGGAGGCACTTCAAGAAGGACGGGTATGGCACACATGTCGACGACACCTAATGAACGAATTTTTCAAAACTTTGCTACCGCTACGCTCGGAGATCTCCATCCACACGAGACTGCGTGACGAATAAGCCTTCTACCACAAGGTAAGGACAAGGCGACGGCTGTCTCGCACGTACGCGTGAGCCCCTGCTGGTCGTCAAAACCACACCTGCAACCCGTCCCAGTCCTTGGCAGGAGGCACGAAATCGACCCCCTTGTTGGCCGTTCGGGACGTAGTAGCACACTTTTCCCTTTCAATCGCTGCCAGGTGGTGCAGCCTTGGCCAGTCCATCGCCAGCACGGTGCACCTGATTATGTGTTCATAAGATGTCACCCGCAGCGCAGATGTAAAACGTCAGCCTTTGCATTGCACAGCAAGGCTGTAATGGGCCGAAAGGCATTGCATCGACTCGAATGTGAGACAAAGTCGTTCCGCGAATGATGGACGAAAACTATCCACAGGGAACGCCCCGGATTGCCTTCTACACGGTGACTTACCGTTCGACCGTGGCATCGTCTCTGTCTCCCATTAACGCCATGGCCCTTCCGCCGACATGCAATCCCTATAAATTAACACCCAAGACAAGGCAGCGCGAGCACAAAACGCAGACACGTAGAGAACGGAGGCCGCACAAGGGGTAGCGCGTGATGTTGGAGGCGGTGAACCCAAGGTGAAAAGAGCAGCAAGCACAATGCTACTACATCCTGGTGGGTGGTATAACGAGGGTGGTCTGCACACAGCGGCAGCGTCCTGCAGCCAGCACAAACCTTTGCACTTGTGAAGAGATGATACTTTGAGCAAGGACGCGTAGAAAAATCAACATATCCGATGCACGGGTGGAGGAGCACTGACTGTTTGAGCGAGAACGCCTTGACAATCGCTTCACCTCGAAACTGCCTCCCAACAGCGCGAGACATGCGTGCACCATCCAGAGTCTGGGGTCACACAGCACCTCGGCCACTCTTTCCGGTTCACCTGCGGAAACGGCAACAAAGCACATCGGTTTCAAGTGAGGGCGACCTTTCTTCGTAGGTTAGCCAAGCTTAACACCGTTACAACGCAACCCAGGGGTCGCTCTCTACGCTTTGGCGTTCCCGGAAATCGTCACCAGGTGAACCGATTGGTCACCGACGTGTCAACAATCGCTTCACGCGCCGCCACTTGAAAACCATGCGAAGCATACCTCTCGAAAACACACAAGCGACATGTATGTAGCGATGTTCTCACCTCCCTCAATCTCACACGCACCGGCTCCCTCCAGGGCCTTTGTCATCAGTGGTAGGTTCGAACACGCCTGCAAACAAGAACACACTCCGAGTGTAACACGAATGATTGCATGACAGAGCCATAGACAAATGGCGAGAAAGCCAGCACTGCGAAAGAGCCGAGAGTAACTGACGGGACAAACTGGCATACCTCGCGTAAGCAGTCCGCCAAAGGCGGAGACCAGCCCTCCTTGGCAAGCAAGGCCCGCAGCAACCCCACGTGCGCACTCATCGAAGCAAATGCCTCTTCTCCGGAAGTAAGGGAAGCCTTCGAAGACAACCCCGGGAGGTAGACGTTGTTGGTCATTCCTGACCCTGCCGCGGCCATCCTAGACCAAACGCTCAGGGTTTCCCCTACTTGGAGCATCAAGCCGTGCACGAGAGGGGCTGTTCGCGTCTCGACCCCGGGGGATGGGGAGGGAACCAGCGGGGAAGAGAACCCCGCCCTGCTCAGTTGCACCTGCATAGCAGTGAGGGCCAGGGCAGCAACGTCCGTGGAATATCTGCTTCGATACCACTCCCGGTGCTTGTGCTGTCTAGGGAAAGTACAGCCAAGCAAAACAGTAGTTTCGTCACCAACTTATCCGAACGCCTAAGGCCTTTTCAATTCGAGACTACACCTATGTAAGAAGACCCCGGGCGTCGCCTGTTGGATACTAATCAAATGATAGGGTTGGTCGTTGGCGGGAAAGGAAACAAGCCGCTTGGCACTGCTGTAGGTGAGTGCGATTCGAATACCCGAAGGCAATCATGTAAACAGGCATAGTACCTGAACCATTTCCAGCGGCGCTTGCGGCAATAGTTTCTCGCACAACCTTGCAGCAGCTAGTCTCAGCTTCATCGATCCTTGCAGCAGAATCACAAGCAACGGTCCCAGCACCTGGAGAAGGCAAACCATCCCAGGTAGATTGGGACGAACACAGTATGGCGGACACGGTAAAACTCTACGCAGGAAGTAGGTCTTACTTGAAATGGCTCCATCTTTGAACCCGCCGAACAGTCACCCGAAACAAAACCACTTACGACTTGAACCATTTCGCGTCTCTTGACAACATTTGTGAGAAGCTTCAATCCTTCGGTGTACGAAAATGGTTGTGTCAATCAATACCCACCTGCGGGGACACGAGCGGGCTAGTCCCTGCTTCCAGACTGAGACCTCCACCTTGGCCAGGCACGCCATCCATCGACGAAGCGCAGCGTTGCACAAGGCTAAGCACGTCCGTGCAGGCCTCCTCTTCCATTAGTGACGGCTCGGGAGGTGCAGGGGCGCATGCCAGACTGCGTACCTGGGTAGAAAAAGAGGGCATATTGCATGCAGCCTTCCACAACAGCACATGAAAATCTCGACGGCAACAAACAAAGGAGCTCGCGCATGACTACAGCAGTGCGTCGGTGAAACCTATGCCAACCTATCGTCATTGGTGTCACCGGCGGCCGCTCGATGGGGGACCCAGGCCAAGGGCCCCAAAGCGCCGCACGATACGATACTTGAGAGCAACCTACACGCTACGCGGTGGCCTGCACGACGGATATATATCTGCTACTGTGACAACTTCAAAGGAAGCCTCGGAATGTCATGCCGCTGCATCTGCTTGCCTGTCCCGCGGTGAGAGACTCGGCGTAGGTGCTCGCACCCCACAAGTACCCGCTGGCCGACCTCTGGGAGGACGCGTAGGAAGGGGGCTGTCCGAGGTACACTGGGAACGGATTCAGGTTCGCTGGGGAGGCCTGCCGTACAGCAGAGAGCGGGCCATGAGAGCCAGAGAATCATCACGAGAAATTACAGGTCCCGGAGCCACCACGGTAGCGACAAATCGAGCGAGGTGTGACGACAGACTACATTGACGACACCGCACGTGTTGCGACATGGCACGTCAGGGGGACCTCGAGAGCGTGTCCACAGACTCGCTGCCGAGCCCGTACTTCTGTACAACGAATGTAAAACGCCAGCTGGGCCCAATGACGGACGTCCACTCTCTTCGAGCTTCACCCTGCGGCCTACACGTATAAGCACACGATGCGCAAAATCGCAGGGATACTTCTTACCTCGCTCTTTTCTTCATCGGCCTCCTCAGGAGCGGCTACGCAAGCCAACGAGGACATCTTGAAACCCCAGTCGTTGTTGGACTGGTCCGTATGGAAAAACACGGCGAAACTGGAGAGGAAAGATAGACGCGATTGAACAGCGCAGAACGGATAGCGGAAGCGAACAAAAGCAAAGCAGTTGTCAATCACCACAACATCATTGCTACGGACACTTGTAGCGCGGTGGCTGGGTGAGTTGCACCCGCGTTTTGACCAGAAGATAAGGACAAAATTGATATCAAAGTGCCAGCTCACCTCGGTGCGTTGATGACCAGGGGAGGCCTTCCCCCTGTCCCCGGCCAGTTGCTCTCCGACCCGTTCCTACCGCCCGAGTAACGCTCTTCTCCGAAAAATGGACCGTCTGTGTCGGTCGCGTCCTTTGAGAAAAAACATAAAACAAAGACCATGTCACAACAAAGAACACCCCGGGGTCGAGGACACGATCGATAGAATGAGATGGTGACCTTGGCACGGGCGTCCACCAAGAATGATTGAGCAGTCAATGCTACCGACGGAGGTACCACCCAGTGAAGGAGGGTGGTACACCACACTCCAATGTTGACAAGTTCCGAAGCACGCTATTCCAGCCTCGCAACAGCAACCGCGGCACCGAGCTGTAGGGTATAGTTTCGACCAACGCCACCATGTCTACCGTGCTATTGTCCTCAACAAAGTTAACCAGCGTGCTGGCGGAAACCTCATGAACCTTGAACAAGACCAACGCGCACCTTCAGGAAGCGCACGTAATCGTGGTTCCGCTCTGTCTTTGTCATCATGTCGAAGGAGATGGTGTACGAAAGTGCCCCTTCCACACGTACGTCCCATATCCTGCGCTCGCATTCAACACGGGCAATAATTTAAGGTGCGGAAAGTCGGCAAAGTATGTCATGTAACAACTTGAGGCCAAAGTCGGAACACAGGGCATGACGGGAAGAAAAAAACGAACGACAAGGAACACACCACATGCACCGCGCGATCGTCTCTTTGCAGACCATATTGTTGACCGCCACCCCAAAAATGGACCCAACGGAACTCGCGCGAAGCTACCGTTGCCAACATTGTGTTACGCTGGAAGTGTTGTGAAGTGCTGGTGTGCAGCAGTGTCAAGGCGATGACGTTCCTCACTTGTCCACGTTGTTGGCGTACGGGTGTTGAGACTCTAGCACGTCCTTCACCATTCCTCCGGGGGTGATCATGTGCTGCGGAAGAGATGCCTCCCCGTCTTCCTCCCCATCCACGTAGATACGGCACCTGCGACAGAGCACATACGGGTTGGAGAGGCCTAGATTGAAGTAGGTGCTCACGTCTCTTTCACAGAACGAACATCTTTTACCACCAGAAATGTATCGCCCATGACCTCATCTGCCTGACACCGTACGTCTCGACCTGAACCAAGTGGGCTCGACGTCGCACGTTGGCAGTATTTTCAATATTGGGCATTACGGAACGAATCCTGAGCTTCATATCAAGAGCAAATCTTCGACTATTTCGAACTTACGGCTGAATCAAACACTGGTTATTGACCAAGACACCGGTGCGAAGCAGTCCATCATTGCAACAATCAGTTATGCCGCGATGTTCTCTACGTGTGTGATGAAGACACACACGACACGTAAGGGGGACACGCGTCACCTGTTCTTGGCCTGCACCACAGCGACATGTGTCCATACGTTCGGCTGCAGCATTGTCCTGGAGTGCACCGAGAATAGCTGGTTCTCTTCGGCGGTGGCATAGTACCTGTCCACGTAGACAAGAAAAGACGGGAGGATTGGCCATTCAAGTGTTGGTGTGGCTGTCCTTGCGGAAGGTTTCGGATGCCAACATTATCGCGGGGACGGTACTGCAAGAGTACAGAGCACACGCTTCTTTGCCGAGTACGCAAACGCTACCTTAACGCCGACAACAACACGACAAACCACTGTACATGCCCAGGACAAGCAACTATCATTTTCCCCAAGGTTTCCTCACATTAGGGTAGCGTTTCCCAGCAGCGACAGTCCAAACTGACTCCACGGCTCGTCCCGCTCATCTTGGGTGAGGTTGTTCACGCCTCCTTTCATCACCACGCTGCCTCCCACGCTTGGGTCGACCTTGACTACCTCCCACACCTGCCACCGTGTATGGCATATAAGTAAGAGTCTTCACGTGAAAACCGTATAGCCAAGCGACGCCATGCTTGGCGATGCTTGAGGCCACCTGGTGAAAAACTGTTTTTTGTCTGGGTAGACCTCGAATACTGTAAGTAGTACTTGCAGTTCAAACCGAGGAATAACTTCGTCCTCCGCGCCAAACCACTATCTACGACGATACCAGTTTATATTCCATACGAGCGCGCATGACCAGGCAATACTTCCGGCAGAAGCCTGAGAATAGGAAACCTACCAGTAGGTCATCGACCGAGGCAGGGGCGGTGTCATCCTCGGCGTTCTGAGGGAACTCCGCCATCGACCCCATTTTGTAGGTGCCGTTGAGCCCTGTCATATCCCACTCCACCCTCGCCTGAGAAAACAAAGTGCGCGATCATCAATAAGCCGGCACTCGGGTCAAGTCAATCACGCGAACACAACCACACGATGAATCAACAACAGGTACAGGTCCGGTACCTTGCATCGCCACAAAAAAACGCATGCAACCCTGAATGCAGGATTCTTCACCCAATCCCACCCGGCGGGTCTCCCAAAAGCCCAGCCCGGTAGAAATACCCATCGGAAACGAAACCTTCACCAAGATCCCGGACGCGGGGCTACAACCACTCGTTTCGATAGTTAAACCAAAAAGCAAGAGACATCCCGTTCGCTCTGCGAACAAGCATGCTTCTCCTTTCCCACTCACAGTCATGTTGGATTTCTTCAGCTCTGTCACTCTTCCAAGACCTCCCGGTCCACCGTCCGACATGTCTCCGCGAGGCCACTTGGGCCCGCGAGCAACCGTATCGCCAACCTTGGGTGGGGAATACCAAGCCCCTGGCTTCGCATCCATCGGACAGGCATCCCGCCTCAACTGTTTAAAAGAATGAGCAGTGGAGAATAACCAATACAAAACGAGGGAAGACAATTAATATCGAGACAAGCAGCCGGCTCCTGAAACCTTGAGGCTCCTGATTCCTGAAAGTGGCGTGGGTGCATACATGTATCGCGGTCATGGCCCAGGCGGGTACACTCCTCTCGTTCACGATTTCCGCGTTACCACACAGCAGCAGCCACCAATCTATATCTCGCGGTCATCGCGCGGCTACTTTCATATCTTCATAAACCTCGTATTGTCACACAGAAGCCCGATCTTCACATACCCCAACATTTGCAAAGAACGGCTGCCGTGCCAACGTAGACATGGTGAGCGAAACACACTCCATGAATCCCCCAAAGCGGAACACCCTCTGAATTTCGACAGGGAATCAACTCACCCACATAGACATGGAGTGCCGCACACTCAGGTCTCGATGAGCGGCCGCCCTCCCGGGCTCGTCTCTCCTCAACCGCATCCCGCGCAGCAACAGCGGCGTCTCTTTTGGAAGAGACGTCGCCGTTGCGCTAGCCCTACCGTCGCTGTCCTCGCCGCCTCCCCGTGTAGCCGGTGCGTCGACTACCGGCCGTACACAAGAGCTTTGGTCGGAGAACAGGTCGTCGTCGATTGCCAGGCTGGCGTTGCTGCGCTGAACATTGCATGAAGCCCTCCCCACTTGTCTGATTAGGACCGCCAGCAGCCTAGGAAGTGGGAGAGGCGCGCGTTGAGGTGCAAGCAATAGCGGTACAACGTGAGCACCCGCCGTTTGGATTTCGGGGAAAAGCTGATGTGGAATCTTGCATACATGTAGTCGATGCGTCGCTTCTGAGGCGTTCGCGTCGTGAGGGTCAAGATGAGACGACCTCTACCACATGAAACGATCGTAAACTACTCTGGAGGTACATGCCTGTGGCTGAAGCTCGTCGGCTCCTCTAGCCGTGTTTCCAATCCCTGGCCCTCTAGCCCGACACACCGCGGCAGCAGCACTTCGAATAGGCACCAAGCCGCTTTCCGCACCGACTCTTCCCTAGCACCAGGGAGGTACGACGCAAGCTCCCCGTCGCCAGCACCGTTGGCCTCGTCGAGTAGTAGCCCCTCCTCCTCCTGCAGCTCGGCCTCGAGGGCAGCGATGTCATCACCGATAGAGCCGGTGTCGAAGAACTCCTCGTCGTCGCTATCATCGCCGTCTTCGCTGTCGTGACCACCGTTGCCATTGGTGTCGTTGTCAGCATTGCTGACCAGCGATGGCTCGCAAGCGTTGGCCTTTGGTTCCGCGGGCTCAGACGGGTTGGTCGCGTTGGCATCTTCATCGGTGTTCTTGGTGTTACCGGTTTCGACCCCGCCAGGCCCATTGAAGCTCTGCAGCAGTGGCTCGAGCACCTGAAAATAACAGGAGTCGTTTGCAAACAGAGAAGCGCGAAGAGAGACATTTGATCCATCTATACTTCCCCCAAAATGCGACTACGACAACTTCTCCTATTTCCGACAACCGGGCAGTCAAGGGCCATTCCTGACTGGGGGGTGTACAGCCGACGAAAACAAAAGTATCGTCCACGGCACCTGAAGCCGCCATCGAGAAGTTGGAAGCGCAAAGCCCTCCGGACTGTGTTTCGGACATATGCGTGTTCAACATCACATCTCACCTCCAACAGATTAGACTCTTTGAGGATCTCGTGGTCCCCCAGGTCGTAATCTAGCGCCAGCGCTTGCAATGAACTGACGGCGAGAAGCCTCCGCTCCGCAGCGTGGGCAGGAGTCTCGCCCTTCTTGGGCCTCGAGCAATCCTTTCGCCGCCAAAGCAGAAGCAGTACGGCAGTGTGTGGTTGAGGTGTCATAAGGCTTCGGGAGCGGGGCGCTGAACGTGCAGTACGTTCGTTGCACACAGTGGATTGCACAGAATGCCTCAGTCTACAAAAACCTTCGGCACAGTACAAGAACATCCATTAATGTCCTGAGTAACATGTGTGTCGCATCGTCAGCTTCCAGATAGTTGGGAATACTACTGAACGCGGTAGAGAAACACAACAGCACCTTGAGAACTTGAAGGGTGCACTCGATGAGGAGCGCAAACTGCCGAGCGAGGGCCAGGTACGCGCTTGGCTCGCAGCCTTCAACGGAGCTGAGGTAGTGGACGTGCGCCCCCGGCCTGTCTTCTCTCTTGGTGAGACGAATAGACTCAGCATGCGACGAGAGCAACCACGCCTGCAAGGAAAAACGCACGAAACACGTGAGGCAGTACATTTTGCCCTTCGTGACGTGTTGCAAATCCCCACAGCAAAAATTGAACTGATCTACGAAGAACGCATTCACGAAGAATCGAGACGTACCTACGCGACACATGGGGCGCCAGGGAGTAAAGCCAAGATCGGGGCACGACGAAAAGCTATCTAGCAGCATACGTATCCAATCTCACCTTCGCTTGAGGCGATGCTGCCGCTGCCACGAGGGCTCGGGTAAGACGGAGCCCTTCAGCCCTAAGCTTCGCTCGCTGGTCTCGACACTGCCTCACCATTTCCAGCTGGCTCACGTCAGCGGGACACTGAACGAATTTCATGATGCGCTCGCTCACTGCACAGCATAGGAATCACACGCACGCGGGGACGCCCAGAGCGCCGAACACGAAGTTAGCTGTCCGCAGTACCGCCCGTGTCCTGTGCGTACTGCCGACACAAAGCGGGGCGACTTATCCCTCCCTCCCCAGGGGATATAAACACTGTTTGGATTAAGTGGCCCCACAGCGCCGGAACATGCGCTCAGAAAAACTGACGGAGAGCAGGGAAGCTCTTTCGTTCCCCGACGTAGACCGAGTTTTGTGATAAATAGTGATTTGTCGCTCTTGCACCTCTCGTAAGAGACACGAACAGGTGATGGTGCTCACCAGAGTTTTCCTTGGCCCTTTCGCGCATGTCTGCGGCCTTGCGGCGATACACGAGGATGGACTTGAGCTTTCGCATGGCGGTGGCTTCGTCCACGACTTCCTTCCACTTCTCCAGCAAGTCCAAGCCTACTCCAAGCATGTACGACGGTGTAGTGCGAGAGAAGTATAAGCACACAAACAGTTGACCGACGAGACGAATGGTTCGGTCTTTAAACTAGTCAACAGATTAGCCTCATGCAGTATGCATAGCGGCAAACGATGTGTGTTCCGAGTTGAGTCACTGAAACGTTCAGCAGCTAAGGAAGCCGGCGGATCTTTACGAAGTCGAGGGCTGTGCGCACTTCACATCAACCTGCCTGCTTTCACGACACCCTTTGGCCCGTGTGACAACAATACTGCGCCAGAAGCGCCGAATCGAAAATATTCGTGACTCTCAACGATCGGCGATAGCAAACTGAGGACAAGTCAGCCACCAAATGACGTACCTTCTGCCGGGCTGTTGCCATGGCTAGACGTCCGCTGCATACTTCCCACGCCGCCAAGCCTGGCCAGAATTGACCAGCGTCGCTTGGACTGCTCTTGGATGGACACGCGTGTTGCCTGGGATGGCAGGCTCAGAAGGAAGAGGGCTCGAGAGACGATTCGCTCGCTCACCTGTATTTGAGAGGGCGTGTCACAAGGTCGCGATCGGACCGCGGGGGAGGGGAGACAGATGTTGAGAGTGGGCACGGACAACTTGGTTGCACGATTGATATGTGCGATTCAACGACATGCTCGTCACACACGGTGACTACTCCGGAACGCCGGGCTCCTATAGTCACAGACAGCACTGCGATGCCTGTGGGAAGCGGTGCTTCGGCGGTCGATACATGCGACGCACACAGCAATCACGATCAACTCCGTGATGCTGCACACGAGGAACAAACGACGAGCAAAGACTTGTAAAGATGGGCCCCTTCCCCTGTGGCAAGTCAAGTCGCGTGGCCAAAGCAAGAATCGGCTGCAAACTCCAAAAAAAACGTCCCAATAAGGCTTGAGTCCGTTCAACCCATTGAGCAGTAAAAAGCACCTCTGCGATGACTCTCTCCTCCGCCCCCTGGTATATCGACGGTCCTCTCGTGAGGATTGGTCTCGTGCTCGGACTGGGGTCATCCAACGATGCAGAAGCCGAGCTCCGCCGTGAGGTTTCCATAGCGACCGCCTGACAACAACAGAGCGGTCGCGCGTCATTGGCGGTTGTGGTCTCCAACGTTCACTACTCGATGGGGTAGTACAAGATGTGCGTTGGCAGATGCATGGTGGTCGTCGCTCCTACGGTAGTACTCTTCGAGCCCACAAGGCCTGACTCCAAATATCGTGGCTGTGATTCTTGCTTGCCCAAGCGGCAGCAACATTAGAGTGGCGAAAAGAAAGGTTTCGAGACCATTCACAAGACAGGATCAACCTTGATTTCGTAGAAACAGGATAGTTTTCCAAGAAAACATCTATGGCGCCAGCACCACTACATGTACGTCCAAGCTTACGGAAGGGGCTATATAGCGAAACCGCCGATCAACATAACCGTCGCAACCTCATGATTATTCACACGGTTTGGTGTTGCTGCACGCACCTGCTGCCTCTGAAGCTCCATCTGGCTGTTGACGGCGTCACGCACGTCACCATAGTCGAAGAACTGCCGCATCTGTTGCCCGAATCTCCACGCCTTTGAAAGCGCCTGTGGCAACAACGCCGTCCCACAACGGACGCACCGACGATTCGCCCTTGTGTCACGTGTTGCTTCCAAAATCCCGCGCCAACGCAGCAAGTAACTCTTGACGCAATACACATGTCATGCGTTCGCTGACAACAGACAAGCATGTCATCCTGAGCGTGACGACGTGCTGCGACCTATTTTTCATTGGCACTAATAGCATTTTACCTTCGACGGTGTTGCCACCCTACCCTCCGCTAATGCCAGCGCTTCTGGGCCCAGCCCCTGGTGCCAAATCAGCGCAGCACACGTAGCGTAAACCGCCCGGTTCACAGCCTCCACAGATCCTTGGTCCTCACCGACTTTTGCTCGCATAACCTTGCACAACCTATCAAAAGCAGAACGGTGCGAGCAGCAACACCCACCGCGCGTAAGTTCGCCTACAGAGTAAACGAGTTTCCTTCACATTGCATATTCAGCAGTTTCACAACATACCTTCCGGGCCAGAAGTCATGTCAACTGCTCAAGACACATACTCTGTGGCGATGATTTATAACAGCACAGTACGTGGTCGACGACCGCGTCACCGGAGATGTTAAACGACATGTCAAAAGACAGTGCCCGATAGCGCGAAGCACGAAACTAACTGAATTGACGACCCGACGACAACTCGTCAGACCTCCAAGGGTGCGTTTTTCCTATCCAAGGTAACCTTTGCTTGAGTATTTTTTCTCATCACATGAAAATAGTGACGATAAGAGGGCTCTTTCCTTCAGAAATGCATGAGCAACACAATCAGCCCTTCACGAACTTCGCTCCAACGGGCGCTCAGTCACAATGGTCGTCTCGGATAACGAACTAATGCACTTACGAGCTGCCGCCGGTCCCCTCAAGCCTGTCCACGACTTCCTGCAGCAGTACGAGCTCTGGGGAGGGCGGTACATTTGTTGCCAGCGACGGCACGGCTGCTCCAACATCTCCCACGGATACCTCGCGAGGCAACCCCCCTCCCGCCGGCACACGACCGGCCGAAGTAACTCCATCTGCTGTTGGCGTTACCGTTGACGTTGACGTTGACGTTGACGGCAGCGTTGTCGCAGGGCTGGCAGCGGACGTCGGAGAAGAGCCGACAGCAGCAGCAGCGGCAGCGGCAGTCTCGGGCGACACTGCCCCAGCTAAGAGGTCATCTTCCATCCTGCATGAGCGGAGCATACGGGATGGGCAACACGCACGATGCTCAGCAGGCATGTAGGCGCGTGTAGGCAACGTGTGACTCACATGTGGTGGTGCGAAGGTCTCCTCCCAATCGCGCTTGCTCGAAGGAGGACAAGGAGTAGGTTGTCTCTTCGAAGACAGCATGGTAACAATAGCACAAGGGCACGTTTTGTTCCGGTTCAGTCCACCGTCTACAGCGGTGTTAACCCTCTGCTGCCGTGAAAACACGGAACGCGGTAAACCCACACCTGTGCTAAAGCTCACCATGGGGCGTTGTCGTCCTCGGCTTTGCCTCCCCAAGGCTTGGAGATCACGAGGCACCCCGCAAGAGCCGCTCCGGCCCCTGCCAGTTGCCGGTCTACGCCCAGCAGCCAGTAGCCGCCTCCGTCCCTGCTGCCAACCTAAAATACAAACACCCCGCGATGGCATGAGTCGCCGGAATGGGACGTTGGGGTCACTGTGTTCACACGCAGAACTCGTGCCTGCTGACAAGCGGAGCAAATCAACTTTGCCCTAGACTGCTATATGTAGGCAAAAATGTACGGTAACAGCGAAGCAGCAAACTCTCGTGAAGACAGTTTCATCTATATTGATGGCAGAAAAGGTAAGCCACCAAAGGAAAGATCTACACAATATGGGATAGATACCAAAACAAAATTGCGTCTCGGCAACCGTTCTGACTGCATTGGATTGACACCGAGTTCAACGCGAAGCGGTAAAAGCAAAAGGAAAAACGACTTTTTCATTACTCATCAGCGTTTGTCCCATGACAACTCGATACAATTCGCTTTCTTGCCGCATGATATGCGTAGAAAGAAGCATTTGAGTGAGCCCACATTCTTCAACTCGGCTGAGGCAGTGAACTTCCAGCCCCAATCTTCGTTCGATCCGTCCGTCCTCCACTCAATCCAGCATCTGAAATTTACCGCGTATTTGAACACGGCAATACAGTCGAAGCGAAAATGCCAACGTCATGCACCGTCCGATGTTGCGGGCATCGGTTGGGGTCGAACCTTGAACAGCGTTTGGCAACTCATCGTCAGAATGAAACGCGTCGGATATTCAAGGCTGAATGTCCACCGAGCGATGTCCCGTATAGCCTGTCTGCAACGATGACGCCAAAAAAATGACGAGTACATAACGGCACTACCGGAAGCTCGGTCTCTTCCAAAAAACGAAGGAAAAGGATCGAAAAACTATACTGTGATAGGCCCAAGCTGATCGTACTCTCTCCTGGCCACGCACGATGCACGGATTAAGCAGGCCTACCTGTCCGCCTCGATCACTAGCGGATCCCTGCCGCCGAACCCCGGGAAGTTGCAAGAGCTCCCGGTGCCCGAGAGCCTGGGAATTCTCGGATGCCATGACTCCGTCTTCAACTCGTCCTTCCAAAACACCAAATAGTCGTACCTGCAGAACAACCGAGCGACAGCAGGTTGCCCAGACATCACCCGGCTTACGCTAAAAAGCACTTGCTACCACACACCAAAGTTATCCTCGTATTCTAGCAGCACATTACATAAAACACGTTTTCGTGGACAAAGGGCAAACTAGCTGTGCGGAAACGAACGTGTGCTATTTAGCTACCTTTCAATTGAGCCGGCACGAGCCAACAAAAAAAGAAATGTGGCAATACAATGGCCTCGTTGTCGCTAATGCAATGTTTAACAAATGTACACCACACATACCCCTCTTCTGTGCGCGAGCGTTCATCAAACGTCACCACCATCCTGGCAGCGCCTTTGATCTCCAGAACCAGGGTCTCATTCGTCAGCGCTTCGTAGTTGTGCTTGCTCTCCATCACCTTGCGGAAACACGACGGAAATCGCGTGACAAAAAACTCCGAATGACATCGATGTTCGTAAGCCTTTCTACTGGCACGAGGCATATAGTTTATGAGCCTGGTAGAGGGTGGCCCGAACACGAACACGTTCATAGTGGCCTGGCTGCTGTTATTCAAGCCCAGAGACCACCACCGTAGAGAAGCTCACCACAGACTTGTTGACGGTGCCCACGCCCTTTCTAACCCCGGCCACGGACAGTCGGTCCTTTGGTACCCTCTCCAGCAACTTGGAAACCATCGTCATCACTCCCACGATCTCCCGTGCCATGGTGCTCAAGCGCCCCTGTATCGATGGGGGAAGGGTGTTGTTATTCCGGTCGGGCGTATATGATCCCACTCACCCTAACTAAATCACGAGTCCGGTAAATCACGCCTTGGCCGATGCACGGCGATGGATCGACACCAACTCGCTCACGGGGCAGGAAAATCACTTCATGTATCGGTTGACGGCTTGACTCGCCGTGTCAACTCTGTCAGGTACCATCAACTCCCAGGCCTGTCGTGCCAGTCAGATCAACAGCGCTTGTATTACCGAGCGACAGTATATCGACAAACAACGGTAACAGTAGATAGTGTCAAAAGGCGCTAGTTTTGCTGCTAAGCTCCAAGCGAAGCCGGTAACCTCATGAGATATACACAAGCCTCATGGCCGGTTCTTCCTTGTTGCAAATAAAACAACGTAATATCGGGCTAAATTGGCCACAAACCACCGCCCAAGCTGGTCGACCAGCCAAGTACAAGCTGTTGATTTGACGATGTCAAGTGCAGTTTTGCTTGCCTGTATTTTAGTGCCGTGCTTTTCCGCCAGCAGTGTCAGCGATGAAGCCACCATAGGCAAAAGTGCTCCCAATGGAGACTCCTGAGGGTGCGCGTATCAATGTTCAGCACGAAGCGGCGGTGATTAAGAACGAAGTTCAAGCGCCAAAAAACGAGGCACCCTGACCTTGCAGCCACCAATGGCGTATACCGTTCAGCCCTTGGGGTAATTTAATACGACTTAACATTGGGCTGCGTCAGAGTCGAAGCTTCACGCACTACCCCAGACACCGGTTCTTTCCGCTCATCTACAAACGGGTGAGCGGGTGAGAGTCAAGACTAGGGCACCATTACCCTGCCTGGACGTCCTCACCTGCAAGATGCGGTCAGCCTCCTCGGACAAGATTCCCTTGCCAGCCGAGACACCCTCACCAATCGCGTCAGCCGTCGCCGCAGCTTGGGCTGCCAACGCGGCGCATGACCTGATCGATCAACGGGACACAAGGCAAGGGGGTCGAGAAGGGACGTAGCCGATGCAGGATCAGGCCCGGTGGGGGGTAATCCTGTTTAAAACACAAGCGAACCTTCCGTGAACCCCCACAAAATCACCATCAGAAAGACTACGAAAGCCTTCGACAACTTAGCGTCTAACACGGACGCGTACCCGCACCAAAAGTGGGCGACAAAAGGCCAACCTGACCGCTCTGCCGTAAACTTCAAGCCCGTAATGGTGCTATATATTGTCCGATTGAATTGAAGCGCTCACCTGCATAAGGCCGTAATGAGCACGACCAGAGTGCTGGGTGCCGATACATCCTTGCCAAGCCATGTCCCAGTCACCGTAGCTAGAGCATGCGTCGAGTCAAGCCCAACGGCTGTACCATTAGTAGCGCTAGAAACATTCGAAGCCGCTGCTTTCCTGTTGGTGTCACCGCTGGCGCTGTTGGCCGTTGTTGAATGAGTAGGAAGAGGCGCGAGTCCCATCGCTTCCAAGAAGCAAGCAATTTCTTCTTCGCAGAGCATGTCGAAGGCTTCAAGATCTGACTCCATGATCACGCAATCCGCGCTGAGGGAAAAATAGGTGCAACACGCAAGAGGATAGAGCGGCGTAGACGTTGATGGTCGTGAGGTTGGTCAGGAGGCCACCATGTGTTGGTCATCGGTACACAAACAATTCGGCATTGTACGGGTGCACTCAGCTGTGGTTGCAACAGCATTTTCCGTACCCTCTGCCCATGGTGAACCCACATTGGTCCCCAAAACAGTGTCATCTCATCTCAAGAACCAAACTTCAACACGCCTTGCGGAGTATGTAGGCCAACACAGCAACACCAATGCGATTCCGAACACACCTACTAAGGAGCTGGTTCATCAACCGTCCCAGCATCTCCACCGCAGCCTCCCCCACTCCTCCCGTCAAAGCGGTACCATCTTCCACGCTTCTCCGCCCTGAATTCCCACGATCCCCTGTATTCTTTTCTCGGGAGCGGTGTTGCAACGCCTTGATCCTGGAAACCCCTTCAGCTGTGGCGACAGAGAGCAGTAGGCATTGCAATTCGTTCGCGGATGGAGCGGGGGTCGCTACCATCGCCGTCGCCGCCTTCGCGACATCGTCTTTCCCGGGCAACACACCCTCGTTCTTGGGAGTGGAGGCCCCGGTCGCCGCGATCGGCGGGGAAACGACGAAAGGGTTTGGTTCGTTGACTTTCGCGGAAACATTGGGTCGCACCACTATCTCCACCAGCTGACCGGGGTCGGACATCCGGCGGAGCAGAAGCTCTAGAACGGTCTCTCTTGCTGGGCTCAGGCCGTCGCTATATAGTTTCGAACAAACACGAAGCAAGCGGGCGAGCGGGAGTGAGTGAGGTGACGTTTCGGGAACGCGGTGTCGATAAACACCGCTTCGTCAAGTGGCACCTCCGATTCCGAACGGTGTTCTTGTTTGCCTCGAACTGTCCGTGCAATGTCAGCAATTTTCCATCTCCACGATACAGCCGCTAAGGTCGTCCAACGCCTTGAACGCCGCAACAAAAAAAGGAACATCGATCCGTAACTCGCATTTGCTACCTGCCGCACGGTCCTTGCCTCTCAACTGGCGAGCTTCGATTTGGGTTCACACACGAACTTCATCCGCGACGCATAACAATACGTCCGTTAACTCAGCCAAGTCATATATACTGTACCAGCTGAGCAACTCAAGTGCGATTCGTTCCACACGGTTTTACTCTAGGTCCCGCCTGTGTATGCTAGAAAAGGGCTCACCTGAGATACTTGGAGAGATACCTCGCCAGCAGGCTATACCTCTGCGCGCACGAGGGGAAAAACAAGTCCATGCCCGTCACGAACAGCCGAAGGCACGCTTTCTGCAACAAATCCTGCCGTACCCCCGCGCTCCCCACAGCAACCGCTCTTCGCCCTCCGGCATCAGCACAACCGCCTCCATCACCGCCGCTGTGGTCAAGGGCGGAGGAGCCAACGCTGCCGGCGCATGACACCCTGCGGACCGCAGTGCCGATATCGGCAGCCGAGGGAGTTGATGCCGAGGCAACCCCTGCAGCCTTGTCTTTCGACCCGAGGCCCTTCTCGTCGCTCTGCTTGCGAGGCGCTCGGACAGAGGGATGCGGCGTCGGCAGTGGTTGCGTGCTTCCTTCTTGCTCCCCGACCTCCGGTCGGTTTTGGTCGATGACGGCAATCAGAACACTCAGTAGAGGGCCCAGTTTGTCCGGGGAAAACGAAGCCAGAGCCTGGAAGACAGAGAGGGCAAAGAGAAACGATAGGGGGAGCGTTGCTCGAAGCGTTCGGGGGTACGTGTTGCGTGCGGGGAATGAATGGTCTGTTGGCCTCACAGCAACTAAGGGTGTACGGCAACCTCTTATTCCGGTGGAATTTACACCCTCTCCACGCAATGAACTTCCAATGGCGCAACAGCCCAAGCTGGACGCGTTGCTGTACTTTACCATTCCTTCGCAATGTAGGCTGCGTAAATGTTAGGCAAGTCTCTTGATTCGAAAAAGATAGTAAAATCCTTTGAGTGTAACAAGTCAACTCCAAGCTGCTATCATGCCATGTACCGGCTTCTCAAACGCACCGGTGAACCGCGTTGGGGCTCGAAACACGACGAACTACACGCTTCGGTCACTTCAACGAAACTCGCAAGCAGGGCTCATTGTTACTAATTTTCGCTCACCGCAGCCGGAGTAGAGCCTCTCAGCAGCTGGAACATCAGGTTGGTGAGGATGTTCACCGCCGACAGCACAACCGCTGCGTCCAGCTCCGCCTGTCCCACACCACCGTCAACATCTACCTCCTTCGTTACCGTCTGTCCACCCCTTCCGCGAGCAGAACTTGATGCGGCAACCTCTGATGCTACGTGCTGTGATGGTACGTCCGGCTGCTGCTGCAGGAGGACCGATTCGTGCCTGAGAATAAGCGTGACGAGGTTGTCGAGAGTCTCCTTCGACACGTCCACGCACATTGGCACCTTTCACGATGAAGCCGCCCGAGGAAGGGGTAGAGGGAGAGGGTGAGAGACACAAGCAACATTGATCGTCGGTTTTCAATTTCCGGCCACAGAACAGCAGGCTTTAGTGCAGCTCGCGTGACGATTTTTCGGAACCATCTTCAACAAACGCAAAACAAACCCTTTCGATCAAGTTTGAGAGGCAACGGGTCAAGAGGCTCGTAGCAAGGGGTAGCGCATCTTACCTTTGGGGCCGGTAGACGTTGCCTGACGGTGGCACACCCCTGCTTGGGCATTCGCAGGACCTGGACACGTCGAAAATGACTTGAAGGGTTATGGTCGAGGGGGGACTGTCTCAATCTGTACACAAGAGAGGAGCACGCGAACAATGTAACCACTAGTCCCGTGCTGATGACCCCTCTAGAGGAAATTCGGTGCGCGACATGTGAAACATAGAAAAACACGAAAAATCTAAACCGTTGAAGTCCGCCAGCCGGTTGAACGTCTTCCGTCTCTCGATTCTTGACCGGCCTCGCATGTTAACAAGTGCCAGCCGCCAACCGCCATCACGTTATTTCCGCTCGGTCTGCTCAGTCTACGTCGCCGACAAGCTCTACCGGCAGCAATGCACACACAGATTACGTCCAGGTTGTTCGGTACCTGAGGTACTGAGCCTGGGCTGGCGCCCCTCCGGCCTATCATCGCGAACGAGCTGCGCTTGTGCATGCCGAGCGCCGCAATCTCTGTGGTCCCGGCCCCCATGGACAAGAGTGCTCTTTTGGCGGAGTTGCCGAGGTTTCCAGAGCAATCCTCCTGCACGGCTATCAGCACCTGGTGTTGATCGGTGTATACGATAATCCGGGTTAGCTTCGACGCATGGCGACAAATCGATGTCGCGACAACCCAGCTAGCTCGACGATTTCACTCAACACTATACAACACGACACTTGACACTTTCTCCGGCGGAAAAATTGGCGGTTAGGAACTTTATTCCACACATCCGGGTGACAATTGTGTTGTAGTCAAAATCTTCATCACCGGCGGTGTGTAATCTGTGCGGGGTGGAATGTTCAGTGATTCCATGGTGATTCAGAGTAACTATTATGTTTTGCGTTCATGTTGATCCGCTGAAAAGTATTCACCCGGTGTGATATCTGCGTGAAAAGACGGAAACCACGAGCCTGACACATACTTTAGTAGATCCAATACGGCCGTCTACGTACCGTGCGGCCCTGGGGCACATTGTTGAGGTAGTCCGCGAGCCGGTTCGAGGCGTGCTCAGATTGGTGAGTGGCGAAGGTCGTTGCGGCTTGTCCTCCTGCATCCAGAGTCTCCGTCAGGACCAGGACGTTCATGCCTGGCTCCTTGCAACTCCGATCCTCTCCCCTCACCAGCAGCCTGGAAAAGTTCCCGTCGTCTTTACCGCCGGAGGCGGCTTCCAGCTCGCACCGCACCCGGGGCTCGGCAACATCCTCCTGCCGGGAGCACGAACCACGAACACGAAGAGAACAGCTAATTCGGTTGAAGGTGTTTGGGTGTCTGGGCGTCAGTACACAGGACACGTCCCCACCCCGAACGCTGCGCTGTAAATAATCAGCCAACACAGAAAATGTTGAATGTTCCATCTTCGTCCTCTTCACCGATATACGTCCCAGATGCTCGTTTTTGCTCACAAAGGCTCCCCAGACGTCAGTGCAAAGAACCCGAACCACGGCCACGGAGGACAGACAGCACATCGCACCAAGTGCACCACTGTGCCGAAGCCGCAAGCCACTTTCTCAAGACAACACTGTTGTGTACTGGACACGTCCACAAACAAGCGTTGACTTTCTACGTGGCTCAGCTGTTACAAGTACACCATCGACGACCCCACACGCAAAAAAAAAAAAAAGTCACCTCTGGGGGCCCGTACGGCTCGCCGAGTCTTTCCAGATAACCCAGCAACAGAGCAGCGTGCCCCCTTGCGCACAGCACCGCCTTGTCACCCCCCTCCTCTCCCGAACCAGCAGGGCCGTGTAGATCCAGCAAGCCAGCCTCCTCAAGCCCCTCGACGCGGTGAGAAGGGGACGAAGAACCCAGCATGATTCGAGCCCAGGCCATTCGCTCGGTGGTGTCCGACACTTTCCCCGGTGCGGCAGAGTCCAGCGACATGGTTCCCTCGCCCTCCGAAGGCACCACTCCGCGTGGAGACAGCAGTGTTGATGGCCGTGAGCCCTCGGGAGGGTTTGGTCGAGGCGGCGCGAAGATGGGCGCTAATCCGTCGTTTCGCCACCGACAGAGCTGTCGGGGGAGGGACGAGGGAGATTCGCGGGAACATTCCAAGGCACATGTGCACACGAATTCCTCGGTTTAGATATCTACTTCGTTTGGTTGAATATTCTCTCCGTGCGTTGTTGTGACCTTTCCTCTGAGGATTAGTTATCCTACATGTCCAATCGACGACAGCGTGCACCACCTAGCTTGTTGAGAACAGCGCCATGACTGAGTATCGCCCTAGACTCCCCCCACCCCGAAAAAATTATGAGTTTGCTGATCCCGACGTCGCTGACGGCCAAATTCCAGGCCACAAATGACCAGCAGTAGCCATATCTCCAAGCTAGTATGCCGCCTTGAGAGACAAAGTCAATACTCTTACTCTCGACGAACCACAGGTAGGCGTTCTTCTGTCGTAGGGAGAGCCTCTACGCTTCCGGTTCAATACTGTACATATCGGGAAGCAAGTATTTCTACCGTTGCGGGACATCCCCGCTGTTCCTTTCTACGCTGCACCTTCTTCAGGATGGAATCCCACCCCCACATGACGTTGTTGCGGCGGTCGTACCCCAGCCCAGTCGGAGCAAGGCTTCCTGTAAGCCTGGAAACCCAAACGGCGAGTGTTCGTCGCAAAATAATCAAAGTGAAACGTTCGTTGGACGTCAACCAGCACTACACGGGGAACGATCGCGGGAACACATGAACGCAGAGAAAGCCAGCGGTGACAAGCTGTTCACGCTCCCAGTGCAGTTAAATATGACATAATAGGACGGGGTGCCTGCCTGTTGCACTTGAAGTGGGTAAAAGCAAAGAGGGATCCAGAATGTTGCGAGATCGAGCATGAAATACGACGCCAGTTGGGAGTTGCGACCACTTCTGTAACGCTCACGAAACGCGAGGTCGTTCTGCCGTCGCAATGAACTTTTTCCGGCACATTCTCCATTGTCTAGCAATCACCCTATCAACCATGCACACAGCGACAAAAAAACAGACAGATGGAGGGCCCAAACCGAAGTGAGACTTGTTCTGGCGCTGTTTTACATCCGTATGCTGCTGCTGATGTAACAAGCCCCACCTAACGTCGAATTCCATGTCTTCATCCTGGTGTGTGGCGCTTAGCGCCTCCTCGCCGCCGGATCTCGAGAATGCACCAGAACGGCATCGCATAGCGACAACGGCTGTGTCTGCGAGCAGGAACGACGGGAAGCACGGCACACGGCGAGGAAAAAAGCAGAACGGAAAATGTCAAAAACTCTGTCCCGAGTTGTGGATTGTAATGCAAAGCGTGGCTTGGCTTGCACAAGCTCCTTCCTCGGGTCCAACGGCGGTACGAGGGCATCTACTCCCTCCATGTTCTCCAGAACAACGCGCACAGCTCACGAATGCACGGCCGACCTTGCACAAGTAACACTTGCGCGAGCATCGACTCCTGTGTTCCGTCTGCGTAGCCCACCTGCCGTCCTCTTTACCACTCCGGAGTCTCTGTGAGTGAGCATGACTAGTCTCTCTCCGTCGCACAACATCGCGTTCTGGTGGAGGTCCGTCTCGTCCATGCCCCACGCTAGCGTAGCGGTCCTCACGAGGCGATACCCGTCTTCTGGGTCCAGGAATAATAACTCCAGCCTTCAAAACGTCCAAATAAAACAAAGGAAAAGGGCTGTCGAGAGGCCGCCGACATGCGCCAGCCGTGGCTTCTCTTTGTAAGTGGTACAGAATAATCGCACGCTGCTGTGTTTTTGCGTGTGACGGTTTTGTAGGTCAGACAAATTCCCCTCACGCTGCAGCCGGCGAGCGCAGATGCCAGGCAAGGCGAGGGCTGTCAACGCACCAGCGAGAGGAGACACAAAGAGCCACAAAGATGCTTGTTAGGCACCTTGTTGGAGCCACGATGCTATGCCATACTGTAGGACATGTCTCGCTTCGATCTCGTTTCTGTGGCGAAAGAAATAGAACAGAAAAAACGCACCTGCGTGGAGAGTCATCATCACCCAACGCCGTTGCTGCCGCAGCCGCAATATTCGGGTCGTCTCCCTCTTGCCCGCCTTCCGCCGGGCACACGAGGATGATGTGCCTCGAATCAGTCGTCATGGCGGGAAACGGAAACCCGCCTTCCTCCTCCTCCCGACACAGACCCTTCGGGACTTCCTCGCTTGGGCCGGTTGCCGACAGCCGGGTCAGCAAGCACGAGGGGGGGGGGGTCGCTGCTGAAGGCGCTAGGGTGTAGCGGACGAACCTGGCGAAAACGGTACGATGGAAGAGGAAGCCAGCGGATCACCTAAAATAGCGCTTCCGGATAAACTGTCTCTGCATGGACGTGTCTTGAGTGTCTGAAGATGACGGCAGGAAACGCGTACGACCTCCGGCTGATAGAGTTTATGAAAGGTCACGGTGGGCGCTACGACTTTGCGGGAGGGGCTCGTACAAGTGTTGGCTTGCATTTAGCTCCGCGAGGTCCACGGCTGTCCCCTTTAAGGAGTGGATTCAAAACAAATCATTGTGACGAAAGGGTGTTTGACACTGATCAAAAATAACTCGATAGAGCGAAAGGGTGCTATTGTACGGAAACAGGGCGCTCTGCTGCCAATGTAGAAGCTCACCCACGACGGGTTCACGGCACAAAACCACTTGACGCACCGGCCTCCAAGCGTGAATTCCAACAACCAACATGCGTCAATCTCAACTTTCAGATGGTGTTCGGACATCTCATGTATGTGGCACCTTCCTCCTGTGTGGCCCAGGCTGATACCTTCCCACATGCGAAGGTGTAGACTGACGCCAGAATGGATGGGACGAATAACAAAACACACGTAGATAGACACGTGCACAGCAGGAGGGTCAGCCGCACCTTGCGATGTTGGTTACGCCTTCGGCTGCCGTGATCTTCGCCGAGTACTCGGCCGTTCCTTCCTCCTCCTGCTCATGTTCGGAGGCTATCCACAAGCCCAGGGTGGTCCAGGTGTTCCCACTCAGCGACGTTTCCACCAAAAGGCTGTTTTTTGTTTAACGGCAGGCACGGCCGAAGGCGAGGATAATGATCTTGTTCGTGACTGTTTGGTAGACAAAGCCAAATTCGAACGTCACCGATTCACTTGGTGGTGGTACTCAAGACTCAAGATGGAGGTATCCGTGCACAGGCAAGAGTAAACACGACACTTTCACCTATCGTCGTATCATATCATGTCACGTAGACATGGGCAAATATTTAGTGAGCTAAGGGTCAACAGGCCCGGGGATCCATGGCACTGAATCGTGGCGGTTTCCGACACAATGCTAACGTGCATCGACAAGGGAGAACAGGAGAACAGCCAGCCCTTCCACCAAGATCCAGCAGAAAAAACAGCTTTAGGAACGATCCCTTTATACTCCACGTCATGTCTGCTGCTCGGCAAACCCGTCCCCTCAGCGCAGTCTCACCTCTGCATGGCGATGGAAATCCCAGCACCCGGGGACGGGAACAGCTCAATCCCTGCCCCCCGAACACGCCTCACCAAACCCAGGTCGACAACGAGGACTCTATCGCGGTCCGACGGCGCGAAGGAAAAGGCCACATCGCTGGGCGAGCTTCCGCCCGAAGGGAAAGGCAGTCGATCCGATTCCTCGCGCACAAGAAGGTTGTTCTGCGACGCGAAAGACGGACAGGTGTCACATTAGCGTGCGGGAATTAAATTTAGTACGGAGGAGGGGGGGGGGGGGTCTGTTACGACTCG